TTTAAGAGACTTCAAAAAGAATGAGTTTCTCAAATCGGTTGTAATTTTTTTTATTTTTGTCACCTCATAACTTTGTCAGTTCTAAACCGATTTGGAAAATTATTTTTTGTCTAAAAGGATATTCTTACAGATTGATTCCATAGAAATTTTGTCAAAATCCGTTCATTGGTTTAGTTTTTAAATTAAAATAACTGGATTTGTCACTATTGCAGTAGGTTTTTTTTATTTATTTATTTGTTTCGTGATACATAGGTAACAATGGATGGTAAAACAAGATAAGTCCTCTATGATCAACCCCATCTATCGAGGTATACAAATTTACAATTATATAAGAAAAAAAATTATATTATATAAAAAGAAAAATCGGCCATGTCACATTTATAGTAAAACAAAAATTATTATGGAAATTTATTACATTTATTTTCAAGGAAAATTTTATGAGATATAATCTTTAATTGTTCTGAAATTATGTTTTGTAATTCGATAATATTTGATTACGTGTTAGTCTCATATCATTCTCATGCCTATTTTTAGTCTATTTTTTATTTAAGTTTTTCTTTTTATCTGTTCTTTTTTTACTGAAAAAAAAATCTATTTGTTTAATCCAAAAACACATCCAAATATTTTCAATGTATTAAGCATGAACTTTACTTTTATTTTTATAGGTTATAACAAAATTAGAGACTGACACGCTGGGATATGGTACTTGCACCTATAGTTTTATAGTCATCGAAATCGGTGTATAATTGTCGAAGATATAGCGTAGCATACACACAAAAATTCAATCCAAATAAAAACGTCTATCTTTTGATGTCGGTTGAAAATGTATTTGCAAAGCATCAATTATTGGCGTTTTGTGTAGTAGACGGCAATAAATTAGCATTAACAAATAGTTAAGTATCACAATAAGGGTCCGACCGGCTTGGGAACCTCGCTCAGGTGGCTCACGCCCCCGACTTAGCTACCTGAGTTGTAGTACTGATTATTGGCTGTGAACATACATTATGAGAAACGCGGACAAAGATCCCAATATTACAACCTTTGCACATTAGTAAGAAATTGTATAAACAAAAAAAAATATATCTATATAATAACAGATTAAAAATACAAAAACTTTACCAGAGGGAGACTTTGTACAAAAGTCGATTGCTTGAGTACCTCTGTCCCATTCGTGTTTCTACCGTGAAGTAGTTGTGTTTGCATGGCTGTGTTTCGGTTTGAAGGATGGGATATGGCGTGAATTTACAGGGTACAGAGGAATAACACCAGAGTCCTCATGTGTTGCATGGGGGTATCATGGGCGAAACAGTATACTCTGTTATGTCCATGCTACTGCTCATGTCTATAGGCGACGGTTACCACTTTCCATCAGGTGGGCCGTCAGCTTGTTTGCCATTCTAAGTTGTATAAAAAAAAATATACAAAATGTCAACACATTTGTGTCCCTAAGATGTTGGAAAATGAATTTTTTTTTATACAACTTAGACTTAGTTAAGTGTAAGAGAAAACTCAAAATAAAATCATACCAAGGCGCCTGACAAGTATAGTAACAATAGGCTAGAGCGTATTATCTTCTTATGGGCCAATAATGAGACGCTAATGATAGGTTAAGGGGTAAGGGATTATTAGTAATGGGGAGGTTAGTCACCACTGTCAATATACTGTCAATATACTCCATCAGGTCGACCGACACGCGGTTCCCCATCGTTACTAATTTATTGTTCAATTCTTCACGATGGGCTAACGAACCTGCCTTTTCATCCTCACCAATAATTCCTCATTGGTGGTTACCATTTCATTATAATACATTTTCAAACAATTATATGTTAATTTAAATTTAAAGTTACAAGTATACGTTGTAAATACTCGTTTTTAATTTAATACAAAATGTTTTTTCGTACTAAGTAGACAAATTATAAAATTAGTACGAAATATTCATTATTATGAGTGCTGTGGATTTTTGTTATATTAAATAAATAAATAAAAATATTTTGTTCATCTTTAATATAAATATTTTTAGTGAAATTTCTATTAGATAGAGTACTTAATTAAAGTTGATAAAATATACTATAAATACCATTCATGATGGTTACCCTAACTATATCGTCAAATGATCAGTAAGAATTGCGTTACAATACAAATAGGATTATTTACCGTGGTCATTACGCCACAATGTCCATTCATGACTTTAAACGACAAAAAGTTACAATTTTATTCTCACGCAGCGCCGTAGGTAGAATAAGTTACGCGCTTTTGACGCAATTGGTTCTGCAGGTTGTCACACTTGCGCAGGTTCGCGCGCTTTTTGACATTTGACAGATTATGAATACAAAATACCCGCCTTTTTGTGACGCGTAAAACATGATCGATTTGATACGTTATTTGTGTTTATTTAGTCGACCTCAGTGATTTTTCTATTAAAACACCTTGGTGAGACTCCCACGCAATAGTTTCTTTAAAAAAATCACTTGGTCTGTACAAAAATATCCTTAATATAATAATTTCCTATAGATATGACATTTCTCGTAGTTATGGGTGTCAACTATAATTAAACTTGTATAAAAACTTGCATCCTTACAAATATTTTCAATCTGTGAATTTGTTTGTTTAATTCTTGGCGTCTTGGCGATCTGACCGTATGTCATGCACGTTTAGCATACGCACGAAGCACTAGTATTTGGTATGGCGAAGGACAAATGCTACTTTTTGTTCTAATTAATTAACATATTCTGGGCACGCGAATAATGTCACAAGTCAAATCAGTATCTTTATATTTTTTTATACCACTGAGGTGGCAAACAAGCATACGGCCCACCTGATGGGAAGCGATTACCATAGCCTATGAACGCCTGCAACACTAGGGGTATTAAGCACGCATTGTCGACTCTGAAGAATATACTTCATTACTTAACAAACTTATTGTAGGTACGTAATAATAATAATATAGAGAATATCAGTAAAAATAATAACAAGAATCCTGCTCTAGGGTTATTAATAAATTTACTTATTGATATAATATTCTGCAGTAGATTTATAAAATATGACGATTTAAAAGAGCTTGTAAACAAATTTATTTTAGTAAAAATGATTTCAATTTGAATATTATCTATCTACCTACTAGTAGAAACATTCTTTCAAATACTCATCATATCAGCCATTAACTGTCCACTGCTGAACATAAACCTCCCCCTTGAAGGGATTTTGCTAGTAGTTGCCACGCTTAGCAGGCGAATTGGCAACCGCAGTCAGGCTTTAGAGATATTTTACGAGGGACGCTGCCGTCCATCCTTCACCGTTCCTTAGTCGTCTTTTACGACACCCACGGAAAAGGAAGAGGTGGCCTATTCTATGCCGGGACCACACGGATAAGGAAAGAAGAAATGTTAACTAAACTCGTTAATACTTATTTTGGTTAAAGTTTTTATAGAATGGAAAAATAAAATATTTAGACAGTATAACGTAAAGAATATTTAAATATATATAGTTGGTCATGGCTGGAAAGAAGCCATATAGTATATTTAAAAAAAGAAAAAGAACTATTTGAATTTTTATATACCATTCTTGTATCTCTTCATGTAATGTTTTGTAACTATAATTTTGATAAGTAAATAAATACAAAAAACACTAGTGGAACTATAAAATTGGTATCATTTTAGAGTACGTCGTCTAATAGTTGCTCATATCACATAAATATTCAAATTAACGATGCGACTTTCCGTTCGGAAGAAGGAAACACGCACAAAATAAAACGGTGGCCACCCATGGCGCGTGATTTGTCATTGCAGTAATGATCATTGATCACATCAATGCACCTCCGTCGTTTAAATAATATGCGGTTACAGACATCTATTACCGGCACTATTCAATCTATTCATTGTTGATATAAAAATACTATACGAACTTTTGAAAAATACCTTCAATTTTAGAATTTTATATTGGAAGCATCATCGATTAGTTGGTTCAAATTTTAATAGTAATTCCATCTATTCTGTAAATTTAAAATCTTTTATAAATTTTCTATTACATTTAAAATGAGCAAAAGAGCAATGATTACATGAGAGTCTCTCCCTTAGGAGGTTTTGCCAGTAGTTATCACATATAGCAGGCGGATTGGCAACCGCAGTTAGGTTTTAGAGATGTTTTAAGAGGGACGCTGCTGCCCAGCCCTCGCCCTCCTTTAGTCGCGTCTTACAACACCCACGGGAAAGGAAGGGGTGGCCTATTCTATGCCGGGACCGCACGGTAGAAAAGTAAGTATTGAGGATAAAATCGTTTGAAATAAGATAAAAAGTCGGCGAACACGTGGCCAGAGACATATAATACCTGGCTTAAAAATATTAAGAAGTTGATTCGGGTCCGGTTGCGATAATTTTGGAAACTAACTTTTCTTAATTGGCTTGGGTCTACAATGATCTGTTGTGGCCTCAACACAGGGAGGGTATCCTAGTTTTAGGACCAGGTGATTGGTATGCTTCTGTGGCACTTATTTAAAAAAGCAAGTTCATTTCATTGTTGGTATCTACACTTCGTATGCTAAAAAAAGATTTATTTTCAACAAATCCGTACAAATTATTGAGGAAAACTTAAATAAGTACGCAGAAATTTACTCATCTAATGTAAAGATAATTAAAATTAATATATACATTTACGCAATTCGTATAACTGATAGCGATTACATGAATCAAGAAAAACACTTCTCATTCAGCAATCAACATGGCTTGCAATAAATCAAACTGCAACAATTGCAGAAACGTCCGCATCCCCGTATGCACAACACAATTCACGCATTGTATAAATCCCTGAACCCTAAATGGAAGGTTACACAATGCGCTATCGAAATTATTTGTGGTTTATATAAGACCACACCGAGGGTCATTTTTTATATCTACGACTCGACGATTTTAAGTATCCATTTACTGTATTAGTCGTTGTTACTTTTTGAAATTATATTTTCTATTTTCTTCTAATATACAACTAGAGAAGTTTTATTATTAACTTTATGGGAATAGGTAGAAAAAAAAGGAAAAAAAAAGATAATTGTACTAAAATAAGAAACATTTTAGAATCTCAAAGAAACTATACTTTTATCTAGTCATATATTACCGATGAATAGCGATCGTACTAACAAATATTATAAATGCAACATTGAGAGAATGTTTGTATGGATGTATGTTTATTATTTTTTCACGCAAAAAGTACCAAATGGATTTTTATAAAATTTTATACACTAATAGGTAACTTTATATACCTACTAATTAACGTAGGCAAAGGCTAGTAATGAATAATATTTGTTAATTATAATTCATCTTTTATCTCTTTAAAAAAATTTACATACTCCATCAGTGTTCTTTCAACATCACTGGCATTTAAGTTGAAACTCTCTAAATATTCCTTTGTTTCATCTTCTTTTACAAACTTCAGCAAAGCATCAAATAATTCTACAGCTTTCGCTTTACCTTGAAATTTCTTCAAACAAAACGGCTTTATCTTAATTATTAAATCTAGAACTGGTACAATAACATCATTATCTTTTGTAGAATAAGACCATGTGTCTTCAAATATATTCAGCAAACCATTACACACAGGCGTAGTTGATAAGCGTTCGATCAAACCAATTCTTTGATAAAGACTTAATTTGTCTGTATCTATTTTATTTCTTAGTTGTTTGTTATTACGAATCTCCATATGCTCTTTAACAATTTTATTAAAAAGATCTAGCAATGTGTGGATGACATTGGTATCAAGTTTCGAAATCTGTTCATAAAATGGCTCAAGACCTTTCAATTTCATAACTCTAGCTTGAACTTTAGGATTTTCTGGTAACCATACATAAAGTATGTCCAAAACGTGTGCTTTTAATGCTAAATTATCTTCATTCTCAAAAATGTCTAATAATTTGTCAACAACATTTATTGGTATAACAGCATTAATAGTTGTTGGAGCAATATCAAAAAGTATCTTTAATAATAGAAGAAGTTGTGTTTTTGCTTTTGCATTAGGGATATCTAAATTTGGAATAACAATTCTGTCTATACCTTTATCTTTTAAGAATTTATAAGCATTGTTAGGGTTCTTCGTCATTTCTATGACATCATCTATTTTAGGTACCATTTCTTCGTGCAGTTTTTCAATATCTTCTATGGATAAGGTGGATTGTTCAGCTGTAGCGGTTATTTCCTCGATTTTTTCTATAGCTCTAGAAAGATCATCATTGTGTGAAACTAGTTCTGTATCTGACGATGTTGTTGCTGGTATCATAATATCTGAAATTCGACCATTTATTGTAGTCTAGTAATTGTATGTAATTATATATTTTCATTATAACAGGTTCTTTTTTTATACATATTTAATCAGTACCTACTTGCATATTACAGACAAATCTTTTGTGGGTAATTATGCAAAGTGGTATTCATTTACGGTTTAGCATTCTATTATAGTATATATATATATATATATATATATATATATATATATATATATCACTGTCATATATAAATGAAAATGAAATCAAATATCGATAATATTATTGATATATGTTAATACGATTTATTATTATATTTATATTTCATATAATCACATAATTATATTATAAATAATAAAATAAAATAAATAAATAAAATAAAAAAGCCTTTTATTTCCCATTATAAAGAAAAGAAAATTACCAGCAATTTCATTCAGTAACAATTATTTTCTTAATAAAATAAATTTACAAAAAATTATTCAATCGATTACATAAATTCTTTTTTTTACTTATTTTAATAATAGCATATATAAATATAGTACACAAAAAAATGGTGTCGTAACTTTAGTTATCAATATTATATATATTGAATGAATAGAAAATAAATAAAAATGTTTTCATTTACACTAAGCCACGATTTTAAATATTACTTTTATCATCATTGCTGCAAAAACATGTAGGTACATGACCTGCCTCCTCCAGTATCATCCATCTACCTATAGTAAGTAGCATTGCACGATATTGTACGATTTTGCCATTACGATATAGTAAAAAAGCAAAATATATACAATTTTATGCTGCCATGCTACCTAGATAATTATATAATATCTTCATGCCATAAACACGTCACTACTTAGATATACATCACAAGAAATACCAATTTTGTATAGTAAAAAATACTATCTATATACAAGATATCGAAACTTTCAAGAAATGATCATATTCCGTCCTAAATCCTTCCATGTTGCGGGGGCTTATGAACGGCGGTCGTCGCTATCAGTTAAGTTGCGTGCTTGTTTGCCCTCTGTGTTATAAAAAAAGCCATGTCCATGTCTTTACGTGAACATTGCACAAAATTTAATCTTTATAAAAATTAAAGATAACCCATACCCTCTTGCTGACCGCGAGAAATCTTCAAAATAACTGAAAAATAAAATAGGAAACATATTTTTTGGAACATCTTTGCTTTCCTATTTTTCAAAAATTCGACCATTGTATATTCGATTGTCATTTATGAAAACGAAAAAAAAAAAACAAAGTTAGTAGCTAATGTTCATATAAAAGTTCATTTTAAAATTGTAAATTAACTCTTTTAATATCTAAATATCTGGACATGCACATACACGTTTATTTGTTTAAAATTTATTAAAATAAAACAATGCCACAATTTTTATACATAAATAAATATACTTAAATTATTTTCATCTTTGACAATTTAGTAAAACTTTTTTGCTACTGAACTTGTTCCATCTGCTTGAATTAGTGTCATTTGTAAATATCAAACCTTAACTGACATTGATGTTGCTATTTATGTAATGTGATAAGTACCTATTGTAGGAATATATTAGACAAGCCATGGAAAAATTAACAACTTTAATGCTGTGTGAGAACAATTCTTGTTGTTGTTTACCAAAGCGAGTGACTATCATAATGATATCCCTTGTAAGTTTGGTATGTATTGTATTTATACATTTGTATTTTTACTTTTTTACTTATACTACAGATAATATAAGACTATCCTAGTACTTATGTTAATGCTAATGCAGTTACTTCGTTACTCAGGCTGGGTGCGTAGTGGACACGATGTCTATCGAATCGTGCAGAAAACAATGCAGCGAGCTACGAAACTTGGTCGATTCAATCAGAACAGTGCTCATCACGTTATTCCAAATGGCCAATCTGTTACTCCTTTTGGCTTCTTTACTCGTTAGTTATTCATAATTAGATGTTACTATAGCCTATTTACGTCTCCAATACCAGGTAACACTTTTGTATTGACAGATTCTGAATAATCAATAAAGTAATTATGTAGAGTTCAACCCGATTGAGAGGGCACATTAATACAAGATGCTGTGAATGGTCTGTAATAGTCCTATTATTAAACTATTATAGAACTTTATACTTTTAATGGACTAAGGGAGAAATTAAATAAATATTTTCTTTTTACGTTTTTCTTCTATGCTACTATATGAATTTACAGGGTACAGAGGAATAACGCAACGCATGGGGGTATCATGGGCGAAATAGTATGTCTGTTATGTTCATGGTACTGCTCATGTCTATAGACGGCGGTTACCAGTTTCCATCAGGTGGGCCGTCAGCTTGTTTGCCATTCTAAGTTGCATAAAAAAATGTACTACTTATATTTTTTTCATATGTGTTAATGGAATGATAATCCCGCCCGAGTTACCGGTATACGCTGGCGGGACGCGAGTGAAGGATGATAGGTGAGGATGAAAGCAGGTCAGTTAGCCCATCGTGACAATATCCACTAGAATTCACCACGATAATTTTCAGGTAGAACCGCGTAGAAGTCGATCTGACAGGGTATATTGCTAGCAAGGGGACTGGTTATCAGCGTTTCTAACAATCCCTTCCTCCCACCCCCATAAGATGTAGGTATTATGTAGAGTTTTATTTTTGTTTTTCATCACTAGTATTGGTGTATGTAATTTATTCCTATAGTTGCCTACTTGATATCCAGGAAAAAGTCGAAAAAGAGTAGATGATGATATTCTTAGTACAGTACAGTGCAATGCAGTGCAGTGCAGTATAGTGAAGTGCAGTCCAGTACAATACAGTATAGTAGATTATTTCTCATGATAATGATGTTCTTATACTGTTACCACATGTAAATATTATGTGGTTATATTACAGGAAAATTCCCTATTAGTTCAAATATACGTGTGGTACACGATGGGGTTCGTCGTGATGGGACTTACGGTCTCCATACTCGAGTTCCTCGTCAACATGAAGTGGGAAGGCAGATGGAGCTTCGTCACTTTTGTACCCGAAGTGGCTTTTTTTTTGGTATTTATTTTTATACTATACTTTTTTATCCGCATAAATTGCGATAAACAGCGATCCATTGTTAATCTCAGATATAGTTTACTAGCCATATCTCTCGGCTTCGCCCGTGGTCGTATCGTGATGTTAAATAGTCTATGATCTTTTTTAAGAAATAAGCTATCAAATTCAAAAATAATTTTCAATGTTGACTGGTAGTTCTGGAAAGTAGTTGCGTTTAAACAAACTCTAGCTTTTTATCTACTAACTCCGGTCACGTGGACGCAGTTATCCGTGATTACATTCACTTTTTTTTTATACAACTTAGAATGGCAAACAAGCTAACGGCCCACCTGATGGAAAGTGGTAACCGTCGCCTACAGACATGAGCAGTACCATGGACATAACAATGTATACTGTTTCGCCCATGATATCCCCCATGCATTGCCATTCCGGACTCAGATGTTATTCCTCTGTACCCTGTAAATTCACTGCCATATCCCACCCTTCAAACCGAAACACAGCCATGCAAACACAACTGCTTCATGGTAGAAACACGAATTTTTTGTACCAAGTCTGTATCGTGTATCTTGTGATATATGTGTGACAATGTATGTATATTCATAGTTCAATTAAATTTAAATGGCAATTAAATGGCGTTGTTTAATTTCCCTATGTAAAGAAGAAAAATTTCCTTCACTCTCAGGTCCTTGCACAAGTTTTCCTATATAGTATCATATTCTTCAAAACTCAAGTACGTTATACTAAGTCTATAGTTCAGAGTAACATTTTTTTAGGATTGGCAATACGTTCATTCATGATAGAGGCAACAACTACGTATCTGCTCAGACATTTACTGACGTAAAATATACACCCCATCACTCTAACTGATCACTGCTGAACATAAGCCTGGTTTTGCCAGTAGTTGCCACGCTTGGTAGGCGGATGGCAACCGTATTTAAGCTTTGGTAATGTTTTAAGAGGGTTACTGCTGTTCATCTCTCTACCATTATGTTCCTTTAGTCGCCTTTTACAACCCCACGGGAAAGGAAGGGGTATCCCATTCCATACAGGGACCTAAATGGCTAAAAAATACATAAATCCCGAAAATGTTCTAAGTGTACATGTTCTTAATGTAATTTCTTTTTTTTTTTTACAGTAATATTCCAATGTTTACCCATAGTGGACACGTACAGACAACACCTCGACACGACCGCTGTAATAAAGCACTTGTAATTATAAGCTGAGGAGAGCAATTAAATAAAATACAAAAAAAAAATTGTTTTAAATAGTTTTCATTTAATATTTTTGTACTATCTACTATATACACTGTGAATATTAAATATCTATAGAAAAACATATCGTACAACATAAAGAAATAATGCGAATACTTAACACGCTTAAAAGCCTTTGACTTTCACTCGAACTCAAAACTCACACTTTTCCGACAAATCTTCATCAGTATACTTACGCCTTATAAAGGTTTATTACACTGTCATAATTATAGAATCGTATTAAAGAATTCAAATATATGATTACTTTTATCAGTAACACTTGTTATGAGAAACTGCTAAACTACATTTATCCGACATGAAATATGGTCCCATATAATAATGACAGTGCAACAATTCCTTATCATAAAAAAATATTAAAAACTTTGCTTTGTCCCTTTAATAATTGATAGTGACGAGACAACTGTTAAGTTCTACGTTTTTTTTAACTATATAAGATAGGTTAATTGTAACGGCTAGTGACGTTATTTTTTAACGTACCATGATCATATTTTGTCACAGTTCTTTTTTTTCACTAATAAAACGAGGTCTTAGAATAATAAACAATTCCAATTATTTTCAATTGCTAACATACCAAACAGATCATTAATTTTATTATTATAAAATCTAACTATAGTCCGCGTTGCACGATACTTTGGCCGTTATAATTGTTTTTCTTTTTTATTTGACATAATTTCAGCATGTATATTTACTAAAGTTATTAATTTAATATAAAAAATATATGAAAAATTTACAGTACATAATCAATTAAAAAAACTTTCATTTTACGCACTTTTTTATTATAAAAAAAAAAAAATACTAAAACTGTTTTCAAAATATGCGAAGTAATAAAAACAAAAGGTTCTTGGAACTATGAGATATAAAAAAAAATTGCAGCAGAATTACTTAATTTCTTATATACGTTCATAAACATAACGACCATTATATTTCGCTGCAAAGCGATAACGTTATTAAAAATTAATATTTCCGCCTTTTGTCTACAGGCACTCTTGTGGCGAAATACAATTTTCTTAACGTATTATCAGAAAAAAACAGATTTATAGAAGTAATTACCGTTATTGGAATACATAACCGTTATTACAAAATTATAGGCACTATTACATTTTTCAGAATAACATGTTTTAACGTAATTAATACATACGTTTTTTTTAGCAATAACAAGTCGACCAAACTAGTTATTTATTAGCTATTGCTATTATATACAGAATTATAAAAACAAGCTATGGATTTGGTGTTGCCATGCTCTATGGTAGATATGGTAGTTTTATTTCTATCAAATCAAAACGTACTGACGCAGACATATTATAAGGGTATTTTGAATATTTTATTTTTTATAATAATGGCATTTAATATAACAGTATGGAATCAAACATTACATTAGCACCACCATCAAGGCGTAAACTGTAGTGTGGCGAAATGCTCGTGTAATATATTTATTACCACAAATGTAATTATTATTACATTTGTAATATATATGTATCATGATTTATTAATACCTGAACATGCTCAGTCAGGTCAGTGGGTACCTTTAGTGGGTTACTATCATACAAAAATTGAAATCATTTCTCGAAAAATCAGACTTAATTTTAAACAATGAATAGATATTTTAATGTAATAACTACGGGTTTAACTTACGTGTATTCAGCAAACCGAGGTTCGGGCTTGTGTCACAGGCGCTCATGACTAAGGGTCGCGGATGGTCCCTATTAACTAATCAAGCTTTCTCGGCTAAAATGTACGTTAGTTAAACTGGTAGTTACTATATTAAAATATAATGTGTACTTAACAAAATTTTTAACCATCAAATAAACAGAACTTTATCTTCTAAGCTACCGGGAGGTTCTTTTATTTCACCCTGTAGATTTTAAGCCTCCCGAATGTATAAGGATGGTATTGAAAACATATGACTTGCGGTTTGCGCAGCCGAGAGAATAAACAGAGTAATTTTTGTCAATAAAAGTTGAGCATACACAATTTCATTAAATTACGCACACAAATCCGCAGTAAATTTGGAATTTTGTTCTCTCCCGTGTGCACAGACCTTTACGATACAAAACATTTATTACTGAAAGAGGAAATTTGGGAATTAAATTAAATAAAATGTAAAGTAAAATATACAATTTTTTTTTTGGGTGTATTTCTAAAAACATTCAGTTCGCCAATAAAAGAGAATCATACAAAACTCAACATGTATGTACACGTATATATTTATACGTACGTATATTTAAAACATTTCTATACTTTTTTTTATATCTATTCTATAATATTAAACAATTTTCAACAAAAATGCAGATTTAATTATCTCGCTTTAAAACTTAAGACACACAAAAAGAACATTTTCTTTCCATTCTCCTATTGCAAAACTTATATACACAGAAAAAACAGCTTATTGGACTACATAGAATATACAAAAAAAAAAAAAAAAAAATTAGGAATTATACAAGTTTTTTTTTAAAATACTAATTTTTAGTAGGTACACGCATTTCTCCGAGATTTCATAGCCGATTTGCTTGTTGTTGTTTTTTTTTTATATATATATTTAAAAGGTTACATTCAGGCTGGTCCCAAGCAAATTTTTAAAGTCGGTTATTTATTATTTTTGATCATTATTTAGCGCCCCCAGATCGGGCAAAAATTGCCATTATTTTTGTGTCTATTGCATTTTTAAATGACTAATTGGTTAAAAAGATTTACTAACGAAACAAATTATAGTGTATTATAATCGCACTTTAAACAATTCTAAATATCATGCCACTATCAATGTAATCGATATTACTTCGACAAATTCTACCAAAAATACAATACTACCATACAAGCAGAAAGTAAAATTAAGAATGTCTAAGTTATTATACACACTATTGGTCATTTGTTTTTTTCAATCAAAACGTTCACATCTACACCAAAAGCTTAGATTAATAAACATGAAATAACACCAACATGAAACGGTGACTCAAAGATAACTCATCTTGCAATTTTTCATACAAAAATACCATACAGCCACTAAGTTCATTTTACAATGCAATTAAAATAAAAACTATGTACGACTAGCATTAGTTTTCAACGAGAATTTTTTTTTATACCACTGAGGTGGTAAACGAACATACGGCCCACCTGATGGTATGCGGTTACAGTAACCTATGAAAGCCAATACCAGGGATATTACTGAAGTTCTCCCTTTTTTTAAGAACCCCATGCTGTAGTCTATTGGAAAAAAAATAAGAAAAACACAGTTAATAAGAAAGCAATATATGTAGAACAAAACAAAAAAAGAAATATTCAAATCGGTCAAGCCGTTTTTTAGTTTTAGCGAAGTTAACGAATAGCATTTGATTTTTATACAAGTAAATAAATTGACAGAGCGACAGATCTGGCACTCTAGACTAGTGACAAGCGAATTCGTTGATGGAATCGAAATCGGTAGCAAGTCCGTTAGATAGAATGAGATAGCAACACCTGATGTCTCATTCCAACTCACGGACTCGCTAGCGATGTCGATTCCATTGGCGAATTGGCTTGCCACTTGTCGAGAGGACCTGTTCATATTTTGATTGCATTGTAAATGCATCACGATGCTCGGTGTCATTAGACACGAAAAAGTAAAAACGTAATATGTCGTACCTTAAATACAATTGGGTTTTCTGGGTTGAAAATATATATGTAATATGTATATAACATGCTATCAATTCGAAGTACTGACAATAAGGCAAATACTATATAAAAATAGCCTATTTAATTCCACTGTAGGCAATCCTCCATCATTGAATATCATCATTACTACCACAATACGCAAATAAATTAATGTATGTAGTATTAGGTATCACAGTATATGCCAAGTGGTGGTCAAGGGGTTAATGATAAACATACATTAGTACATAACCAGTACAGTTATTATAATTTAAACAATGGAGGTTCTTGTCCAACAGTAAAACAAATGTAACTAATATGTGTAAACAATGTATTTGAAATATTCACATTTTTGATATTTTATTATGGCCGCCATATTTATTTTATACCATCGTCGTGTAGTACTTAACGCTCTCACAATTAAGACCTATTTATCATGCAGTTTATGTTACATATTGCGCCAAAAATCCGTACATACCTACATGCACCCGTATAACACATTACCCTCCTTTCTTTGGAAGTCGAGTAAAAACAACTTGCACTACAGGTACAGTCAGCATCAAAAGTCGATGAACACATTAAGATTATTATGTTGGGTGCTCGCCATTAAACTTAAAAATAATTGCTATTTTTAATTTCACAGTGATATTATTTTTTGTAACGACTGTGATATGACAAGTGATAAGAGTGATTTTCGCTCATAATGACCTAATGTAATAACTATTAGTTATTTCAAGTGGAGTATTAAGGAAGATGAGAAAGAAAAGATGCTCTGCGCCCATCCCAGAATTGATTAAGATTCGAGCAGAGATTAGCATAGACATGTCCAAGAATACATATGCGTCTTTTCTAAAAGACCAGGGCCCTCTGGAAAATAATCTTAAATACGACGATTACAGCCGATGAGTCACGAATAAATCCGAACACCTTGATAGCCTGCATATTTTCTAAGTGTCATTTTGTAGCAGTCTTTATGAAGGGGCATAGCAGGAGTGAGGAATGATTTTATGTATCATTTTTCATTTCACATGTGAAATTGACGAGTGATTTATTCCATTCCTCTAGAATACTACAGCTATTTACGTAGGCAATATGTTTATGTATTTTGGAAATCTCTTTGCGTACGACTTTTGATACTGACTATAATATAAATATAATATTTGAAGCGAATCAAGTTTTAATTCAAATTATTTTGGCACTAGAAAACATACTGAATTAGTAAAAATCTTCATTCACCTACAGTGAGATCACTTTATAAAATTCTTAGCCTTTAAAGACACTATCGGTCGTATATTATTTAAAATATTTTAAAATTAATAAGTGTCATACGCTCAGAAAAATAAAATGAGAATATTAATTATAAACAATTTTTTTTTAGAAACCACAATACCGTTAGTAGAGAAAATGGCGAAAATTTTAACCATTTAAATATGGAGATAGAGAAAATTAATAAAAATTTGAAATTATTACGATAATTTCAATTTTTTTTTACTGTATATTGACTTCGTAAGGAACAACCAGTGGCCTAATACCTTCGGCATGTCCCGGACGATAACATGATATTTCGGGACAAATTACTCTGTATAGATATGTACACTGTACGAATAGTGGGGATTAATTCTGTAGACTGGTTTTATTATAACCTAGCTTTTCCTCAATACTTCGTACGTGTAGATTTCAGAAGTAGGAAAACCAATGGATTACTTCTAGATGGAATATTAAGATAAAACATACACCAGTTTTTAAGTTAGACCTTCAGGTACACACTTCAGCAAAACCGCATTCAATTTGATTCAATAGTTTTTGCTTGATGTCAAAATAAACATACAACAAACAACATTTCTAAAAAAATTTCTTTTGGTTTCTATTGCTCTTATTAAGGCCACTCGTATAAATTTTTCTTAAACACCTCTCGTCTACCGACATCCTTTTTTATATTTTAATTATATTAATAAGTTTTACAAGTATCGTTCCTTTTATATAATAAATGATTAGAATGCAATAAAAAAACAGACTTAATTTAAAAAATAGTGTAAGAGAAAGAAAACTCTATACCGAGCCGCCTGGCCAACATGGTAGTAATAAATAGGAGACAAGAAAAAATTAACTATTTCTTTTATGTTATTCAACATACCAAATTACTTAGACGTATGACACTTATTTAACACACAATTTTTTTAAATAAAAACTAAATCAGATGAAAAATACTTATAAAAAACATAGCAAGTTATAAGTAGAGTTAACTTGTTAATAGCTTAATTGAATATATATTTATACTATAACCCAGTGCTTTTACAAGCACTACAAGTTAAAATAACAAAAGCCTTAATAAACACTAGTCAAAATCCTTCGTTCAGTAAGTTTTACCTATATTTTGTGAGCCATTATGTTCAAAAGCAATTGATTTGGTAAAATCAAACGGAATTGAATCTGCTGCATTGCTCTGGTTGATTCCTTTTTTTCGATTTAGAATTATGAATACAATTCCGTTTAATTAAACTACTCGCAGATAAATCACTTTTGGACACTACACTGCGCTACATGTTTTCTCTGTTTTTATTACTTATTCTATAATGTAATAGGACAGCGGTGTACAAAATTGACTTAGTTAATAATTTATTATTGAGTTTAACGAAAAATATATAAGTGTTTTAACTTCTATTTCTTACTAATAAAATTTTATTTATAATATTATAACAGTACTTAACTATATGAATATATTACAAAATTGCGACTCCATATTGCAGTTTGGTTCAATGACAACTTAAAGTGTTTCTAATTTGACTAAATTTACAAACACTACCATAAACGTTTAAAAGGAAACGGATTGACAATTTCAATAGACAGTTGCAAATCATAAGGTTAACAGCTGTAGATGCTCTTCCAACCATGTGGTTCATATCAGGAATATAATATTTGATAGGTTGTATTTGTACAAATACATTTGATCTTTTCAACATTAGAAATTCTTGTCCATTCACACGTGAAAGAAAAACCTCTTCAAAACAACAAACATAAGTTTGTTCGTGTCTCTATTTTTGGAAGTGTCTCTAAACTTGTTCCACTGATCTTTTGCAAAACAACAAAACGAACACATTCAAACTTCAGGACTTTAATCACTCGTCCACAATATGAAATCGCAATATAAAATATAGTATAGCACTGATGTCAGTCAATGGTTGTATTTAGTATTTTCATGTTTTTAAATAGACTCCATATTAATCTATATACCTTAGGTACATAAGGGATGTGTATGCATGTATCATAATATGCCAAATGCCTTGTCTTCAAATTAGATACCTTGTATTGTGATAAATCAAACATGAAACATCTGAGCTAAAAACAGGTCTTGGGTCAATTTTACATAGTTCACTAAATTCAGAATACTAAGTTTCCTATATTTAGAATATTTGGTTTTCTAATTTAGTATACTTAGTTTTCTAAATTTAGAATATGTGGTTTTCTATATACAGACAACTTGGTTATTTAAATTCAGAATACTTGGTTTTCTAAATTCAGACTACTTGGTTATCTAAATTCAGACTACTTGGTTATCTAAACTCAGAATACTTGGTTTTCTAAATTTAGAATACTAGGATTTCTAAATTCAGACTACTTGGTTTTCTAAATTTAGAATACTAGAATTTCTAAATTCAGACTACTTGGTTTACTAAATTTAGAATAATTGGTTTTCTAAATTCAGACTACTTGGTTTACTAAATTTAGAATAATTGGTTTTCTAAATTCAGATTACTTGGTTTACTAAAATTAGAATATTTGGTATTCCAAATTCAAAATACTTAGTTTTCTAAATTTAGATCACTTGGTCTTTTTAAATTTACTCAACCGTGGATTACTAATGATCCCAGATGATACGCAAACAATGCTTAATATTACGTAATGATATTTCGCTGGAGGCAACTTAGGAAACAGATTTTTCTAAATATCAGATGATCCTCAGACGGTCGATGCTAGATTTTCGTAACACACTGTATTATAGTTTTGAGTTATACGGCAATCCAAAATGGCAGGTGTGAGCAATATACTACTTAATTATATATTTCATAATTAACTTCTTCGAATGTACTTATTAAAGCTTAGAAATTAATTATAAAACACATACTCGAGGATTTCACATCCATCCCTTATAGCAGGTAGATTTGTATACATAAATATGAGGCAATGAGTTATACAACCACTCATACACTTCAGCGATACACGAAAAAACCTAAAGTACAACAGACCTTAACTGACGCTCTGGTTCGCTATCGATACAACGGGTTGTTGGTTATTGGCGGATATCACCGTGGAGCCAGGAGGTATCTTCTGCGGGACCATGCCGTCTATATGACGGTACTTCTTCAGTCTCGTCCATTGGCCATTGTTGTAGTTCATTTGGAAGTGCATCTCTGACAGCATCGTTAGGTACGTGTCGTCAGATTGTAATACGTTTTCGATGTTCTCTGATAATTTTATTGTTACTATATTGCCGAGATTCGGACAGGGGTTATCTGGAAATTAATAGAAATTTATTATTTTAAATGGCTGTAGCTATTTACCTAAATACTAAACCTATTATTAAATTAATCAGTGGCATATTTAAGATCCTATCAATAACATGAAATGTAAAAAATGCCAAATCTCATAATACATTTCTTCCATTTAAAAAAAAAAGTTGTGAAATCTCATGTAAAACCAACAAATCAGTTATTTTAGTTAGTGTCTATGGAAGCAGTTATTCAACAACTTTGTCATAAATTTGTTAAAATATCGTTATTTATAATGACCATATCAATATTAGGCATTTGTCTTCGTATAATAATTATAATGACCTGACCAGACTTCACCAGAGGGAGACTTTGTACAAAAGTCGATTGGTTGGGTACCCCTGTCCCATTCGTGTTTCAACCGTGAAGCAGTTGTGTTTGCATGAAGCAGTTCGGTTTGAAGGGTGGGATATGGCGTGAATTTACTGGGTATAGAGGAATAACACCTGAGTCCTTAGGAATGGCAACGCATGGGGGGTATCATGGGCGAAACAGTATACTCTGTTATGTCCATGGTACTGCTCATGTCTATGTGCGACGGTTACCACTTTCCATCAGGTGGGCCGTCAGCTTGTTTGCCATTCTAAGTTGTATAAAAAAAAACCTGATAATTGCATGGAAACCTTCAGTTTTATAATTCAGTTTAAAAAAAAATTAACATTTTTTTTTGTAAAATATATGTTAAAAAAGCAACAAGTTTTTTCTCATTGTTCTCACTTAAAATTGCATTAAATTTATTTGAATAACAATTATATCTATTTTGTTCTGAATTTCTCCAGTTACCATTAGACAGGCTGTTATGCTTGTTTGCCACTGTTATGGTATAAAAAAAACCTTAGTCAGTGACTAGGTCTGTGTACCGTAAGTTAAAATAGGCAATATACTACCTCTCGAGCCAGCCATGAAGCCGAGTATGAGGGCCTTCTCGGGCCGCGTCACTCGGTTTGCGTTCCGGAACATGTCTTGCGCTTCCAACATTTGTTCACGCTGGAACAAACAAGAAAATTACATTTAGACAAATATAAAAGAAACAGTATTATTCATTTTACTAGACTTAGAAATGCCCTGTAGGGTCCCTAACTCCTGTCTCAGGAGTTAGTGCCCTTTTCCATATGTTGTTGTATTAAATTTTCAGTGAAACTTATATTATGAAACAGTATATTACTAAATACAAAAACAAAAATTACAAGGGAGCCCATAGTTTTAGAGAAACAATAATAATAAATAAATAAATAATCTTTATTTTACTCTTTGTTACAATATAATTTGAAGTCCCTAACTCCCGAGGTAGGTATGAAAAAGCCTGTGTTTCAGGTGTTAGTGCCCTTTTCCATATGTTGTTGTTTTACATTTTTTGTGAAATAATATGAAACAGAGAAGTAACAAATATAAAAACAAAAATTACAAGGGAGCCCTTGTATAGTTTTAGAGAAACAATAATTTATGAGTTCTGTGAAATTGTGTGTGATGGAAATGAGTGTGTTGTGGGTGTGTACAAGTATATGGATAACATGTGTATAGGAACTGTAAAGATGTATGTATGTGTGAGAGAAGATGGATGAGTACGAGTGTATGTATGTGCAGATGGAAAGAAGTGGAAGTTACAGTCGCATATTGACCATAGATCACAGAATAATAGGAGTAGTAAAGAACTATACTATTATTATTTATTATATTAGCCATTCAACTGTCCACTGCTGAACATAAGCCTATGGGGGAAAGGGATTGTTAGTAACGGAGACTGAGAATCCCATTGCTAGCAATATACCCAGCCAGGTCGACCTCCTCGCGGTTCCCCCTGGAAAATATCATGGTTAATTCCTGATGAATTCATCATGATAGGCTAACTGGCCTGTTTTCATTCTCATCTATCACCCTTTACTGGTGCCCCGCCAGCGTATCCCGTTAGCGCAGGCGGGGTTACCGTTCCATTTTCACTCATAAAAAAAAACATAAGCCTATACTATAAGAAAAGTTTTGGCAGTACTTGCCATACTTGACAGTTGGGTTGGTAAATACAATTAGGGCTTTGGTGATGTTTTAAGAGAGACTCTGCTCCCCATTCACTGACTATTTAATTACCTTAATCACATGTTAAGACACCTGTTAAAAACGAAGGGATGGCACATGACAACTATATATTACAATTAATAAAGTAATCAACGTTTAGATATTGTCTATGAAGTTATAAGTTTATTTTTGTTTTCATGTTTTGAATTAATTCGATCGTCAAGAGCAGTGCGGTAACTGGAACTAATCGGATATATCGATTTACATAATAATCCTTTATTATTAAATAAATATTAATACAAAAGAAACAGATATTTATTTATTATTTACTCTTTACTGTACTATTTAAAGAATAATACAAAAACTATATAATTATTTGCTTTCTTGTAAAGTGGAAAACTTTTATATATGCACTGTTAAAACCTCATTGATGATATATAATAAAGTAAGTCTTTATGTTGGCATGTTCCAATATAGAGACTTACTTTATTGAATTATACATAATAACAATAGTTACCGTGAGCGAGAGTCCCCTACGCGGCAGCAGCGGCGCAGGCTGCGGCGCGGCCGTCTGCGGCGCCTGCACGGCCTGCGCCGGCTGCACCGCTTGCACCGCCTGCACCTGCTGCACGCCCGCCGCTTGCTGTACTGCTTGACTTTGCTGAACCGGTTGTGATATTTGTACCTGAATACAGATTTTAAGTCACACCTTTAGGAACACAACTGTGATCCACTTCCAATTTGTTTTTTTTTTTATATAACTTAGAATGGCAAACAAGCTGACGGCCCACCTGATGGAAAGTGGTAACCGTCGCCTATAGACATGAGCAGTACCGTGGACATAACAGAGTATACTGTTTCGTCCATGATCCCCCCATGCATTGCCATTCCTGAGGACTTAGATGTTATTCCTCTGTACCCTATAAATTCACGCCATATCCCACCCTTCAAACCGAAACACAGCCATGCAAACACAACTGCTTCACGGTAGAAACACGAATGGGACAGAGGTACCCAAGCAATCGACTCTTGTACAAAGTCTCCCTTTGGTTTCGATATATGGTCACTATTTTTGCATTATAGGACGTCAAATGACGTGAATTGAATATCATCATCATCATCATTATTTCAGCCATTATCCGTCCACTGTTGGACATAAGCATCCCCCATAAAATTGAATATATTATAAGCTATTTAAAAAATTAGCAAAACTCACTCTATGTATTTTACCCATGCAATCGACTTTTGTACAAAGTCTCCCTCTGGTGGAGTAATTATTGTGTGATGCCGGAACAAACATACAGACAGATAAACAAAATAAAAAAAAAAAACCATTGTTTTTGTCTATCTGTATTGATCTTATTAATACCTCTCATTTTTATATTTCCCAAATATAAACAACGTTTAATTACAATTTTAAATAAAAAAAAAAAGAATGATTATTAACAATATTGACATGTCTATATGACATAATATTGCAAAATTAAAACTCATCTAGAACCTTAACACCTGACCACATTACCCTAACAAGAGTAGTTTTAGTAGACATTATCCCATTATCTTACAGTACCCATGTAATGTAATGTAAATTGGACTCTCTTTTCCGCGCTTAGCCTCTCATTTGGGCCGTTGTGCGTATGAGTTGTTGCTAGTACAGACAACCCAGCTCCACCCAGAAACACAGAAGCTTCCTGGGATCTTCACAGGCCTCACAGAGTGATCTCACCATTTCGAGGATTTCTAAATGTTGATGGGCCACAGCTTTACATCCCAGAATTACATGAGTAGTCTTTTCTTTGGCGTCGAAACAGCCACGATATAGAGGACTGTCTTACAGTACCCATACAAATATAAATTTATTGGTAATGCTAGCTCACCGTCTGCGGCTGGTGGTGCAGTAGCGGCGGCTGCTGGGCGGTCTGCGCGGGCTGCGTGGGCTGCAGGCTCGGCATCTGTGGCCGCGTCTGTTGCACCACTGACTGGCTCACCTGACAAACAGATAAGTCAATAAGTCAATTAATCAATTTAAATAATTCCTACAAGTCCATTCCAGACTGTTATGGCACATTATTTTAATATATTATTTTCATGTGACCACAACTAGCAAAGGCTGTAATGTCAAATTGAAATGTTTAAATTGACAAATGACTTTTATGAGTAGTGACAAAGAGACCAGTCCCCGCAGCATCCGTCCGTTCACGAGTATGACGGATGAGTCAGCCATCATTGTACCCAACTAATTTAATAATAACAATTCGGATGTCTCCTATGCATTTCATTACATAAAAAAATTACGAATGACAAACTAAACGGCGTTGAGTACCATGCTGTACATAATAATGTAAACATTATTCCAACAATGACGTTGAACATGAACTATTATCGCTAAACTACCATGAACATGAACATGTGATGTCAGAAATTAAATATAAGTATCCAAAGGCTGCCTGGAAGAGATCGCTTTTAGCAATAAGGTCGCCCATTGTTTTCTCATTGTGATTATTTCTTGTAATTATTTATATCTAGAATAAATTTACTATTGTAATCTTTTGGAGGAAACAATAAAGAGTATCTATCTATCTATACCAACCGGCTTGATGTTCTGCAGTAGCACGGCCTTCCCGCCGGGCTGCAGGATGACCGCGGAGGTGTTTAGAAGGTTCTGCGCCGACAGCAGCACGGGCTTGCCACCCGCTTGCCCCGCGATCAACAGTTTCGGCTGCTGGCCAATCACTAGCGGCTTCGCGCCCGTGCTCTACGAATAATATCAATGGTATATTTTCGTGTTTTGTAATTTAAAGAGATAAAACAATAATAGAATAATTATTTATTTATTTTATTTGGGCAAACAAACAAATTTTCAAATGTTCATTAAATCATACAGAAGTACATGGAAATATTTTAATTATTGTAACACACACACCCACAGATTACTACAGCTATGTTAGTCTTATGCTACTTTTATTATATAATTATTTGTGATTATTCAAAACATCTATTATTTTTTTTTAAACCTATTATGCAAGTAAATGAAAAATATAAAATGAAAATTGTGTCTAATTAAATATATGAACAATTAAGAATATTAATCGCATTGCTAGCAATATATCCAGTCAGGTACCCCCTTGTTTTCAATTTTAAATGTATGGGAAAACTGTGACTGCATGACGGTGGTTACATTACCTGTTGTACCAGTATGGGGCTGGTGACGACGGGCTGCGGCCGCGGCTCGGGCTCTGGCGCCGCCTCCGCGGCGGCCGGCGGCGGCGGGCTCTCCGTCGCACTCGCTGCGGGGACAAACAATTGCATATTTCATCATAGTTGTTAATCATCCATCAGAATCCTATCTAGGCCGCGTTACTAGTTACTTTTTATTGTATTATATATTAAATTTTAACTAGATATTATTTAGTTTAGCTCTACTGTTTTTACCCTTGAACATTCTATAGTTTTCTATCAGCTTCTGAAAAGTTGACTGTAAGAGATCCCTCTATGGGATAAGTCCGCCATTGTATATTAAATATTTTAATGTGTCCAATGTAAAGTATGTACAGTAAAGATTTTATAATACAATACAATGTTTCACTGCTATTATAAAAGACATTGTTACAAGATGTTAGTTTATACTTGAAGCAGCAAAATAACTAAACCATTTTTTATGCAATTTAGAATGGCAAACACCTGATGGACAGTGGTAACCGTCGCTTATAGACATGAGCAGTTACCATGGACATAACAGTATACCTGTTTCACCCATGATACCTCCCATGAATTGCCATTCCTGAGGACTCAGATGTTATTCCTCTGTGCCCTGTAAATTCACTGTCATATCCCGCTCTTCAAACCGAAACACAGCCATGCAAACACAACTGCTTCACGGTAGAAATAGGAATGGGACAGAGGTGCCCAAGCAAACGACTTTTGTACAGTCTCCCTCTGGTAATGTTATTCATTAACGTCCTACTGTTTGAATTAATTGATATTGATATTTTAAAAGTGGATCCTTTTACCTCTTGAAGCTTTCTATGACTAAACCGATCACCATGTTTAGTGAACATGTCGTACTTGGAATTGAAAAGAATGTGGAACACTATTTATATCATAATAAGTTCATGATTTAAATACACTTACATGACAAGAAAATAAAAAAAAATAGATGAAAAAGCACTTACTCGCTGGCTGCTCCTCCTGCTTGGGTGCCGTGAAGGTCCCTTTGGCGAAATCGGGCGGCGGGGAGGGGGGAGCCGCTGCCGGCGGTTTCTTTGATCCTTCTTCCATTTCTGTAACATTAAAAAAAACAAATAAAGAGTGTTTAACTGTATTATTTGACGGATTAGAAATATTTTGTTCGTTGGTATTTTTTTAATGGGTGAAAAAAGCATGGTAACCCCGCCTGCGCTATCGGTATACACTGGCGGGGTACGAGTGAGGGATGATAAGTAAAGATGAAGGAGACACATCGTAACGAATTCAACGATAAATTAGTCACTATATTTTCCGGGGGAACCGCGTGGAGGTCGACCTGATAGGGTATATTGATAGCAATGGGTGCTAACCTCCCCATAACTAACAATCGCTTCCTCCCTGTTTGTTTATATTAGGGCCTGTGTGAAGTCTATTTATCTTTTGTCTCGTTTCATACGTAAAGTATCCTGATTAGGTAAACACACATTTCTCACCATAACAGTTCTTATTTAACGTATAATGTCAAACAATTAATCATTAAAAAAAAGCAACGACCGCACTAATTACGAATTACATAGATACGATCTAGGTGTGATAGATCTAGGTCAAGTATGCACAATAGTTGCGTCCAAGAGTCAGCATATATTGGAAATATGCATGGTAACCGCTGTAAAGTGAACTCGACACAACGGCAAATTATTAATTCACTTAATCACCATGTATAGTATCAACTGCAAGTGGTAAGCATCGTAAAAACGGATATCACTAAATTCATCGTCATATCAACTGTTAACTGTCGGGGGGAAAGGGATTGTTAGTAATGGAGACTGAAAATCCCATTGCTAGCAATATACCCAACCAGGTCGACCTCCTCGCGGTTCTCCCTGGAAACTATCATGGTTAATTCCTGATGAATTCAACATGATGGGCTAACTGGCCTGTTTTCATTCTCATCTATCACCCTTCACTGGTACTCCGCCAGCGTATCCCGTTAGCGCAGGCGGGGTTACCATACCATTTTCACCCATCAAAAAAACTGTTAACCAGCGTTAATCATTCCATTAATCATCCATAAAAAAAAAACTGTTAACTGTCCACTGCTGAACATAAGCCTCGTCCATAGACTGCCTTTGCCATTGGGGAGGTATTGCCAATCGTTGCCATTTTTGGCAAGTGTGGCAACTATCGGCACGCTTGCCAAGTGTGCTAATTATTCTTTATTCTTCAAATTGTGATGTGTTCATGTGCACAAACAATAAACAAGGCAACATACCGAGCTTTCTCCGCTTCTTGATCTGTGCATGCGTGGCAGGTTGCTCGGTGATGTCCAATAGCTTGATGCCGGCGCGCGGCGGCGCCCGCAGCGGCAGCGGCGGGAGCGGCGGTAGCGGCGGCAGAGCGCGGCCACTGCGGCCCGCCCACCGCGACGGCAAACCCTTTAGCGGCGCTGCGAGAGTACAATCGTTCACATAAGACTATTGTTACATTAGACCGACCTTCAGTCGCCGATCATCTGCGACGAAACGCCTATATATCAGATATTTTTATGCAACATCAGAATAGCAGACAAGCTGACGGCCCACCTGATGGAAAGTGGTAACCGTCGCCTATAGACATGAGCAGTACCATGGACATAACAGAGTATACTGTATCGTCCATGATACCTACGCATACGTTAGCATTCCTGAGGACTCCTGTTAGGTGAGGTGTTATTCCTCTGTACCCTGTAAATTCACTGCCATATCCCACTTTCTTCTTTCCTCCTCCCTTAGTCGTCTCTTAAGACACCCACGGCAAAGAAAGGGATGGCTTATTCTATGCTGGGTTCACACGTCAAGTCTTAAATATATTATCAATTAAAATTAATGTCTGTTTACACTATTGATGTAACACAGACGTAAATTTAAAAAATAAAAAAATAAAATACGTACAATTTACTACTCTCGGTTACACCGTGCCAAAGATTAGTCATTCGTGTTCAGTCCACATAATGACTGGTTTTTTATCACTATAGCATTCTCGTGCCTGGCATTTATTTGGTTGCTAGTGACCAAAGATAATGTGAGTTTGGGACTAACTTAAATGCTCTTTCACATCGAAGAAATTTGCTTGCCCTTTTCGGAACTACATAGAGCTCACACACAACTCTCATATAGATGAAGTTTCTGTTTGAAAGATGACACCGACCGAAAATGCCGTGTCATTTAAGTCTACCTACATATGAGTGGATCAGAGCAGATAAATCTGTTAGACAGATAGACACAACGTAATACTCATATCTATCTACATACCATGTCAAAGTTTAAAAGCTTAAAAACTAATTGAACATTGGAATCACAAAAGGAATTATTATTTTTTATACAACTTAGAATAGCAAAGAAGCTGACTGGCCCACCTGATGGAAAGCGGTATGAGCAGTAACATGCACATAACAGAGTATACTGTTTCGCCCATGACCCCCCATACGTTGCCATTCCTGAGGACTAAGGTATATACCAGATTTGTCCTCCAAACACACTTCCTGATACATTTTATGTCCCTCTTCATTTATAAGTTGATAGTATAAATGAATTCCACCTTAATAATATAATTATAAATTATATTATTAAAGTGGAGTAATTAATTATAATTAAAAAAAAAAGATAAAGTAGGAGAAGAAGCCAGAAAGTTAATAAAAGAACGGAAACTATTATTTACAAATAGAAAGAAAAATAGAAAAGAAATAGAAAATCTTAGCAAAAGAATTCTTGTAAGTATAAGAAAATACAAAAAATCCATAAGACAAAGAATAATAACAGGAGAAATTGAGAAATCAGGTGGAGTTAAAAAAGCTTTTAAACAACTAAAAGACCATAACACTTGGATGTGTAATATAAAGTCCAAAGATACACTTGGTAAACTACACAACACAACAAAAAGGCTACAAATGTCAGAATTGCAACAGAATTTTATCAAATCTATATGAAAATAAAAACTATTACAACAACAAAAAAGAAAAGTCGGAAGGAATTGATGAAGACTCCATTCCTAGTATTCTTGAAAGTGAAGTAAGGAAAGCTATTCTGACTCAAAAAAAAGACAAAGCACCTGGGGATGACAAAATAAGTAACGAGACACTGAAAGCTACAATGGAAATTATAATCCAACCGTTGACAGAACTATTCAATGAAATCCTATCAAGTGAAGTGATTCCGATCCAATGGTCTAAATCTACAATTGTCTTGTTACATAAGAAAGGAGACAAAGATAAAATCGATAACTATAGACCTATCAGTTTAATGTCTAATATATATAAAATATTCTCCAAAGTCCTTCTAACACGACTTACTATATGCCTTGATGAACAGCAACCTAGGGAACAAGCTGGATTTCGTAGCGATTTCTCTACAGTAGACCATATACATGTAGTTTGATAGAGAAGTACAACGAATATGGAAAATCATATTACATTGTATTTGTAGACTTAATAAAGCATTCGACTCTTTACTTCATGGTTCCATTTATGAGACACTACACAAACAAGGCATAAATAAAAAATATATCCGAATAATTAAACAAATATATGAACATAGTACTGCAAAAATTCAGCTCGAAACAGTGGGGGAAGAATTCAAAATTCAGAAAGGTGTGAGACAGGGAGACCCTTTGTCGCCTAAACTTTTCTCAGCTGTTTTAGAAAGCATATTCAGAAACTTGGATTGGGAGTATTATGGAATAAATATCAACGGAATTAATTTAACACATCTAAGGTTTGCTGACGACTTGGTGTTGTTTACAGACAGTCCCAAGATTTTACAAAAAATGCTCCAAGAACTTACTACGGAAAGTAAAAAAGTGGGACTGAGTATAAACATCACCAAGACAAAAGCAATGACAAATAAAAAAAATTAAACTTGTAATGGACGATCAAGAGCTTGAATATGTAGAAGAGTATACATATCTGGGTCAAATTATCTCACCTAAACAACAAATGCTTAAAGAGATACAGAAAAGAATAAATAACAGTTGGTCTCGTTATTGGTCACTAAAAGAAATAATGAAAAATAAGTCAATACCAGTATCTGACAAAAAAAAAAGTTTATAACAGTTGCATCCTGCCAGTGCTGACATACGGCTGTCAAACATGGGCTTTAACAAAACAAACTATACAGAAATTAAAAGTATGTCAGCAAGGTATGGAAAGAAGTATACTTGGCATCAGATTAAAGGACAAACAGCGACTCACTGATATTCGAAAACGAACTGGCATTACAGATGTGACTCTTAAAATAAAAAAGCTCAAATGGCGATGGACTGGGCATATCATGAGGTCATCAAAAAATAAATGGACCCAAGATTTAATTGAGTGGTATCCACGTGATGGAAAAAGAAACCGAGGTAGGCCAATAAGAAGATGGGAGGATGATTTGCCCAAAGGCTGGAGACAAGCTGCAAAGAATCGTTACCAATGGAGAAATATGGAGGAGGCCTATGTTCTAGAACAACCTGAAAAATAAGATGTTGCTGATGTCAACATTATTTATACATATTTACAATTTAAAAAAATCTGTAATTCAGGAATAAAGGCTATTTTTATTTTATTTTTATTTTTATTTATTTATTAATTAATTATAATATAATATAATTAATTATTAATTATATTATAAATAATAATTAATAATTCCGCAACTTAATTTACAAATTTTCGAATTACGTTTCTACCATAATCTATGTAAATGTAAATTAGTAACTCACTTGTGTCGGTCATCTTGCGTGGCATCCCCCTGCTTCGGACAGGAACTGTGGGCGCCTGCGCCTTCTTCTGATTGGCTTGCACTTCAGTAGCTTTGGCTAGGAGTTCACTACGAAGTGCTACCGACTTCGGTTTACGTTTTAGCGTGAAGTGTTTCACTGGATTTGCTTGTTGGCCTACCTGTAGTTGAAATTATTTAAAGTTAATAAACATTTTCATGATGATTTCATGATATTGATAGTAGTCCCTTTAGTCATAGAAAGAACTGAATGCTAAGAGGTTTTTTTTTATTTTAACTTCAGACATGACCGTCTTCTGTATCATCGATTTGCGTAAATGTGGTCCCAAGTTCGATACTCGGTCAGGTCAATTTAAAAAAAGAACTTTTGAAAGAAAAAAGACAATTTATTTTGCACAAATATAGGACAACAGCCACACAGGGATTAAAAGATAACTAAAAATAGTAATAATAAAAAACTACAAAAAAATAACTAAATATGTAAAAAAAATCAATAAATGCATATTACAAGAGTTACAGCAAGAATGAGTATGTGGGCAATATTTGTCAAAACGAGGTCCTGGCTCAGCATGTTTCTATAGTGTCAGGGGTGCTATAGCACTGAGCTTTTCTAAATTGGCTCGAGTCTGGGTGCTCTAGATCGTGCCCCCTGGTGTTTGTTGGTTGGTATCCCATTACAGGAGTTCTAACTTGAAAACCAGGCAATGGCAATTGCATGATTGCATTCCACTTATTAACATTATTTCTTTTAGTCATCATCATATCAGCCTTCAACTGCCCACTGCTGACCATAAGCCTCCCCCTTAGGGGGGTTTTCCCAGTAGTTGCTAAGCATGGCAGAAGGATTGGCAATCACAGTTAGTTAGTTGCCAACCGTTGCCACAGAAAAGGAAGGAGTGGTCTGTTCTATGCTGGGACCACATAGTGAATATCTATTAGTATTACTTGTAAAATAGTTTATCAGTCAGAGTAAATAAAGAATTAAATCAGTATTTAAACTTACCACAGATACTAAAGCATTCTTATTTAAATATAGGCACTCGAGAGGTAATAATCCTAGGTCTGAATGTTTGGCAAGCGCCCGCCTCAGTTCTCCAATCATATCACTGAATATTGGGCGGGTCTCGTCAAACTCTGCTATCTCGGTGTTGAGAGTGCCCGCAGAGGGAAATGTTTTGAGGACCTCCGCGAGCATCGCCACCCACAAGTCTGAGTCAACTGCGGCCACTTCAATGATCTCTTCCAGTTCATTTCTCCACTGTAAATGAGATAATAATGATTTGGATTAATGTAATCTACGTAGACATAGTACTACAGGTTTTCTTACCTAAGATAGCTCAAAACTCAACATTTACTCAATAACTCATTAGTTATATAAAACATTACAAAGACTGATGTTGTGTGATAGTGTGTGACTAATGTGTTTGAATTTATACAATTAGAAATATATCTTTATAAAGTAATGTTATAAGATTAAGCAGATCCAAACAGGTGTACACACAGCATAATTCTCATTATTTTAATTATTTTCATAGAAATAAATATGTGTACAATTTCATATATGTAAGTAAAATTTCAATACATAATTTTATAGCAAACATAGTCAACCTAATAGAACTCTAATGGGAAATAATAATCATGGACTATAGATATGAATAAATATTAGACTTCATAGAACTGTTTTTGTCATTCCTAAGAACTAGAGTTATGCTTCCATACTTTAGCTATAAAATTCAGAATTAAGTTTCATTTTCTGAAAATATTGATTTGATGCTTAAGAGAATATTTCAAGTTATATTAACTTGATTATATTGTAAATTTCCTATATTGACTTTTTTCAAATTTTATTTATTTTTAGTTTATTTTATTGAACATTAATCTAACTCATCAAAATTAATAGGTCATTATGTAAATTAATATTTGTATAAAACAGATATCAGAAGGAATCTGACCATCTGCAATAGCACTTCTGTCTCACTAAGTATTGCTATGCTGGTACACAAACAGCTGCACTTTAGATTTGTTAAGTGTTTACTTATCTATTTGTATAAGTTATATTGTAGTTATAGTTTTCTCTGTTATTGCTTAACAACTTATCTGTATCTGCCATGAAAACACTAAATTCTGAAACACATATTTCACCTAGCTTGAAAGTCAGAAAGTTTACAAATTAATCATTGTATCATTTACGTCAATAAAGAGGTATTATTGTATTTTAAATACTATACTTCTGATTAAAGGGAGAGATAAATTGAGGGAACAGTGAAAATTCTAAGTAATATGTATCAAATTGTTCATTTTACAAGAGTTTACCAACCCTGGCCAGCCTTTACCTAAGGTTATCCACTGGCCGCTTCATTACACAATATGGAATTAAAATGAACACACAAATAACCTATCTTCAGTATTAAATTCTAATTATAAATTAGTTAAGTACATCATTTAGAATGAAGACCTTGAGAAATACATTGTATTAAAGGAAATTATAGGTTATAAATATAGCATATGTTTACACAGTTTTGAATACACGGCTCTAATAAGTGTAAACATTCATACAATGTAAAGGATCAAACTATAAACAATGTTTTGATGCTGCATTCTTTAGGTGATGCAGGAAATACGAGGGAAACATTATTGTCGCATAATTTTATTAATTATTAATGATTGCAAATAAATATATCGGTAATATCATTACAGACTACTGTAGAAAAATAATTGTTACATATAATATAAGTGAATTTAATATTTTTCTCGATAAATAATTGGAAATAATTCATGTAAATTGTATATGACAACAAATAAAACTACTACATACATCATATTAGTGCATCTCTTTCTGTCCAATTGTATGTTTTATTAAATGACAGAGACGAAACATATAATACAGTTACGCAAACCATACAACACCAAAGAGAAAAGTTACCTCTTCAACATTTCTGCGCGGGATATGAAAGAAACTTAACAATAATTTTAGTTTAACTTGAGTTTGTAAATCCGGAAAACAATCCTTGATATTTTTCAGAACTTCGGCGTTTAACTGTGTACAAATTGAACCACTTGTCCATGAATCGTTCGAAGTACCGAGTTTATTATGGAGCCACAAAGATGTGTCACTATCCCGAACGTTCGCCATCTTGTAACTGTGCTAGTGGTGTGACATACTGACTCACCACGTGCTTATTGACCATAAATGATTAGAGAACTGAACTATAGTGAACTACTACGTATCACTAAAGAATATAATAATTTTTATAGAAGTAAAATTTGTGTCATTTTATCTTACAAGCGATATTAGATGCATGTTAGAATGATTTGATTTTCATCGAATATTATTAGTTGATTGTTGAATTAGCAAAATTATCTTTCGATTAACTTCTTCCACAGTTAAAACTTAATAATACAATTATCAATGTAAATCTTTGTTCTGTGTAAATACAGATAAAATTATTATTGTTATAAAATAAGAAATTTCTAAATACGTATGCTATTTATTTAACATTAGTATTCGAGTTTTAAACTAATATCATGAACTACTAATATTTCTTCTTTTACTTTTTTGGGCTTCACTATAGTTCTTTTGTGTTTCATTTTGTTTATGAGAACTAATATACCGGTATAGTCTATGATGAAAGATAAATAGATTAGAGAAATAGGTACCTACGTGTTAAAAAAAAAAGTAGTAAGACATAAAATACCTAAAGTTCAAAATAGATTTCAATAAAGTATTTGTATTATATTTAATTTATTAGTCATTTAAACCTAAAACAAAAAGAATCCTTTTTAGAAATATGGTGATAATAGCTTAGTCTATAATTTATGCTTACTTTATGCACAGATAATGTATTACTTTATTTATTTTGCTTCTATGGCACAAGCTTACGTTATTTTAAATAAAAACACGATTATATTTTAATCTATGCAATTAAAGTTTTTATGACACTTTCGGCTTCGATATTTAATTCTTTTAAAAATGTGTATAATATTTATAATTGCAGAATATCCAATACTGCAAACTAAAAATTTTTAAGTTCAATTTTCAAATATATTATCGTAAAAAACTAATTCTGATTTTTTTTTATACCAAAAAGCTCAAAGATATACCAGTTGTTTGGGTATAATCTTCATCTCTAGAGCTTTTGATACATAGCGCTGGCAGAAATAGTAGAAAAAATAACGAAAGATTGCCATTTAAGAAAAAATAGAAACAATAGGTTTTTTTTTATTTATACTTCTAGGTGGTTGCATAGCTTAATTTTGCAGTTTCATCTATAAATGAACTATCCTACTCTTAAATGACGCACGGATTAATAGCTCTATGGCGCGGTTTTTTTAAATTATTTTCTTAGCTTATTGATTTAATAATAATCTTAGTGACATAACAATGTCTGAAACATCATCGGTTATTTTAGAACCAAATATTTATGATGAGGAATTAAATAAAGAGACAACATTAAATTTATCTTCGTCTAATTTGGATTATATACCTGAAATAGAAAATAAATTGCTGAGTGTAAGTTTTTAATCATAATATTACTTAATCATCATACCATATTTATGCATATTTATTTAAACGTATAGTTTACTTTTACGTTTATCACTAAATATTTCTCTCTATATTTATAAATCATATGCATCTCATGAATTATTTGTGTATTTATATATTATTATTTGTACATTTAAGGCATTGTACCTCCAAAACAATAGAATAATCAACATTCCCGATGACTTCTTCCCGTCGCTGCCAAGTCTCATCTATTTAGATTTGAGAGACAATCAAATAACAGATATTCCTAAATCTATACAAAACCATCAAAGTCTTACCCATTTGTTGCTACAAAATAACAAACTGACTACCTTACCCAATGAACTAGGAACAGTGAACTTGAAAGTACTACAACTGAAAGGGAATCCAATAATGTATCCACCTAGGGATGTATTAAACGCTGGAGTCTCCAAAATATTAACATTTTTATACAACAAATACGCGGACAATATGTTCGCACAATCATATATAGGATCTGAGGACACGATGAGTAGCAGCGTGAACTTTCAAGAAAATATCAGCCAAGGAGTTGTAAGTTATAACTCTGTAATTGACGCTGATAAATTAAAAGAGAAAACATTGTCAGTAAAACTGAACGAGAAAGACTGTGAGGACTCTGATGACGAGTGTTATGGTAAAATAAAAGGGAAATGTCCGAAACTGGCGAAAAGTCGATACAAGACTTTGCCGTCGTATTATCAAAGTTCAAAATATGTTAATCCTCCCTATGCTGATAGCAGAGACGTGCAGAATCAGAAGATAAAGCAAAGTTATTTAAAAGAGCTGACTATTAAGAAGCATAAAGAGTTGCTAGCGCGCAGAGAGAAGATATTACAGGACAGAAAGTATGTATACCTACGTATCTGGGAGAGGTTTCATTTTAGGACAACACAGGGGGCAAACTAGCATCCGGCTCATCTGATAGTAAATGACTACCGCCGCCCATGATCACCCACAACACCAGAGGCATTGCAGGTGTGTTGCCGACCTTTTAAAAAGGAATATACTCTTTTTTTGAAGGCTATGATGTTGTATCGGCTCGGAAATACTGCTGCTGGAAGTTGATTCCAAAAAGTGATTGTCCGTAGACGAAAGTGCCTTGAAAAACGTATAGTATGAATTTTTTAGGGTAGGACTATGCCACCAAATATCTGTGGGTACTAGTACATTGTGTTCTGTTCTAATTTGAAGGCTGAAATAATGACACTAAAATTACTGGGTACAGTGACTTAAGATCATTTTCACTAGGGGCAACATACTGTTCACAGCTCAGTGTTAACCTCCTCACCATAAAAACTGGGATAATTACTTACTGTCAGATGGGCAAATATATTTTCGAGATATGGACATATACGTATGACTTTATTGGTTTTCGCCTTGATATTTTCTGCTCATTTCTTGTCTAGAAACGTTGAACTTCTCCGTAACTGGCGTAAGGAGTATAGAATCCGTCAACAATCAGCTGACGGGACGTACAAACTTGAGCCGAAGAATTATCCTTATGACACCAACCCTGAGTATATGACCCTACTAACTAGAGAGGACATAGAGAAAGATCTACCAGACAAGTATCGACGTAGACTCATAAGGAAGTCTAAACCGACTGTGCCGAGAAAGGGGAATAATGATGTACACTTGGCTATGAAGATAAAGCAGCTATTTGCTAATTTGGAAGCTATTGATTTGAATAGAGAAGGGATGACGCCGAGGACAGAACAAAAAGCGCTGTTGACCGAGATACAGAAGGTTAGAATAAAAACCTATTTGCAGATAAGCCTCTAGTCAAACTAGAAACGAATCTATGGATAGAATAGTTATTGGTAGCAAGTCTATGAGATGAAATGAGAAGGCAACATGCGCTGTCTTACTCTTTCTCATATGATCACTCCCCGAAACAATTTCATCGATAGATTCGTTAATGCCTTCTCTAGAAGGCAAGTATAGTTATAACTACATACTTGTAGTAGATAAATTTTCTTTAACTAACAGCTTAGTTCGTAAGTTACAATTAGTGCAAGTTCCATTGGACTTCTCTAGACTTCTGGCTTCCTGGTCCGTTTAATTTTATCACGTTTTTATTTCATTGAATTTTTTACAAATCGAATATATAAATAGGTGTTTAATTTTCTTCATCATTTAAACAAAATGTTTGCAACTCATTTTAAATATCAGCCTTTTTTTAAAGTATACCTTATTTAGAAATTGTGTCAATGCAGATCGTTCATTTCTTAGCTCATTCTATACTGGGATCATCCCCTCCATTCCTGTGGGTGTGGTAAGTGGCGACTAAATACATTAGACGGTCGAGGGATGGGCAGCAACGTCCCTCTAAAACATCACCAAAGTCAAATATGGCAATGACTGCCGAAACCCCCCTTATGGGATAGGCCTATATTCAACAGTGGACAGGTAACAGATATACCGGATATTGGAAGTAGTGGTTGGCATTAAATTTCATATTATTATTTTCAGATATCCGAGATTAAACAGAAATTAATGGAATTGTCCACGTCAAACAGCAAATCCGTAACGGCCGATTGAGAAAATAAATTTATGAACATCAGCCGTCGACACACTACGGAGTCGTGTCTTGTATTTTTAGGTAACAACACCCTGGAAACTTCTTTTTTAAAAAACTGTATAGTATGTGTTCTAGGTTTTACTATATATCTGGAATTACTACACAAACATTTGACGTTTAAAATGTATGTTTTATTATGTAGTAGACTTAGATTATATAGATAGAGCATCGAGTTTCAAATACGGGTCAACTTTTTGTCAGCTAATTGTCAAATTAGTGGACTATTTTTTTATCAGTGTTCTATATACTTATACGCACATAATGTATCTTGACATATCTATATTTAATTATTTAATAAATATAAATAAGTTTTTATTAAAAATATGCAAAAAATTATAAAACAAAATAAATATAGAAGTTGTAAAGGAAACATTCGTAATTATTTAAAAAGATGACCCGCTACTCTCGAATAATTTTTTTTATACTACTTATATTGGCAAAAAAGCTGACGGCCCATCTGATGGAAAGTGGTAACCGTCGCCTATAGACTTGAGCAGTACCATGGATATAACAGAGTATACTGTTTCGCCCATGATACCCTCCATGCGTTGCCATTCCTGAGGACTCAGGTGTTATTCCTCTGTACTCAGTAAATTCACATCATTGTTTAACGATGATGATACTATATACACAGGTCAATAAAAGTTGGTACAATTTTTAAATATGTTTTATTGATTCATCATCACGACGGCCGGCACCATAAATTATTTATATAATGTAACAAATTATATCAATTAATAAAATGACGTCACGAGCTACGATCGTACGCGCGACGCTACCGTTACACAATAACTCAAATAATTGTATCTTAAATCTAAATCATTACAAATACGAAGATTATACAGCGAAAATAAATAAAACCAGTGTACGCACTATTACAATTTTCATTTTACATTTACACTCATTCCAAATTCAAATGTAAGCGACAATTCGATAGCGTCAGCACAAAAATATATTTGTTAATTAAATCCTTTTTTTTTTACTACGTCCTTTGCGTTTATTTACGCCTGCCTTTTACTTGAGGAAACTTTATAGGATTTTTTTTTAATTGTATACTGTTATACTAATAAGCAGTAAGAATGTTATAATAGCAATTCTATTTGAACTAAATAGAATAGTATATAGAATTTAGCGTCAAATACAACATTATTACAAAATATAATACTTTTCTGAATGAAAAAAAAAAGAAAAAGTATAAATAAATCTTTAATCATTATGGGTAGTAAACAATACAAAACATAAACTTCGAGTACTAGGAACATTTATTAAGAACACGATGGATCAAATAGAAATATTACGTGAACAATAAATTTAAAATAGAGAAATACACAAAATTTAAAATAATACCATCATTTTTCACAAAAAAAAATTTAATAAATAACAATATACATGCATAACGAAAGTACAACCAGCAACAAAAATAGACACAAGTGCAATAATGTCAAAGATGTTCATTTTGATACGACAAATATAATAAAAGTTGTCTAATTTTGCTGTTGACCGTACATCCTTCTGATTTATGACACATTGAAAAGAAAAAAAAAGAAATATGTCATTGTTTTAACATCTATACACTGCTTTTCTTACATAAATAACACGAACCCCTTTATTCTTAAAAATATCGAACGGCAAATCTATTTTTTATTTTTGAACTGTTTCCGTCTTTTTCTGTCAAGCTAAACTCTTCATTGGAAAGAAAATGACGCCTCTTATGGTTCGAGTTAGTTTGAGGACTTTGTACATTGTACCGTCAGTATGTGTCACTAACATTGGGTACCATTTTTGTTACATCCGATATTTGTCTACTATATTGACATATTTGTCTATGAGTCTATTGGTCATTTTTATGAATAAAGGAGGCAAATATGAATCAATAGTACCGAAATTTTCCATTAAAACTCTTAAGTTTTATAATTTAGCTACATTCACGACGGACGTTTAATCACACTCACTCTTTCATTTCCCGTCTCGCTCAGCTAGAGAAGGATAGGAATATTGTTTTTATTAGCTACCTCACTCGCCCATGTTTGGGTGTGCATTATATACATAAACACCCACGAAATCACAAATGAGGGCTACCAGAAAGAAAAACTGCCACTAGTTGGAGCTACTATTTATTTTATCCTTTTTATATCATCAAATAATTATTGATTTAAAGTTTATAATTAATAAATTTCGAATAAAAAGCTGAATAATAAACTACAGTGCACTTCAGTGCCGGGGTGTGAATGATTATTAGATGGCGAACCTTGGATCATCTACGATGTACCTAATGTAATATATTTATATCTCTATTTATATGTCTCTTGTTTCCAAATATAATGTTACTTCTACAACACTATGGTCTAGCATTACGTGACCAAACGATACATTTTAAAAATTACCAGAGCAAAACAAGAACATTAACTTTCAGACAGAATTCGTGTGCCAGTGGCGCCAACTAGTGACACTAATAAGAAGCCCCCATCGATAATATTTGAACAAAATCCACTCAATATTGTGAGACAATCAAACAAACTGTGATGTATTATGTACAATTATGATTTGATATTTAATATAATGGCAGCATAATTTTTATATTATACCTAATAATGAAATAGATAGATAATCACTAAGTATATTTAACAAAATATGTGATCAAATATTTTTCGCATTTCAATGCTCTGTCTAGATCTAGAATTCGAAAATTTTAAACACAATTTAAAACCTAATTTTACTAACAATGCAAGTTTAAGAACCTATTCAAAATGCTCGCAGACTTTTAATCGTCTACAAAAAATCAGAAATTCAGGGATATATTCATAATATAACTTACTATAAGGGACATGATTGAAATACGAATATAATGTTTGACCTTTCCATTCTAAATCGAGCATCTGAATGCAATGTTGTTGTCACAACTATGGCTGGATTTTAGACTGTTGTACTATTTCCTGTACATCCTATACAGTTCTTTAGTAAAGGACCATAGCTCTAGGTCTATTTGCATTATCCATTCAGCCAGTGATTTGATCAAACATCACATCGAGTAGTCCACCAACGATCAATATAATACATATCACAATATTCGCGTGTAAACCATCTCCTCACATACTCAGTCTTTACCAATTCTTGACTAGGCGCTATCCAACCTTTATATTATACAAATATTACATTAGCTGAATAGATTAACAGAAGTTAGAACGCAGGCAATCAATACATTTATGTTTGTGCTACATCTATTCAGAAACCATAAATATAGGAAAAATTTAAAATACTGTCAGAGAGTAAAAAGTGGCACAAGAATAAATCGCATACAGCCAAATTATGCATTAAGTTTTTAGTCAAACTCGAGAAATCGATTATTAAAAAAAAAACATAATTATAACAATTCGTCCTGACGGATGCATGATTTATCCGAGTCATAGTAATATATAAGTTACAACAAAAATAATAACGATTCGTTGAAGTATAATGTCTAGTTAGTCGTCTGTACATGTCCTACTTTTTATTCTGTGGTAAATGTTACAATTGAAACGAAGTAACATTTACAAGTTTCGTCCAACGCGTATTTTGTCTATGGTTTTATTTTAATCGACAGTGTTTCATAATCCGTTTCAATTCATTTAACTTTGTTGAATAAATAGTAAGACTGTAAGCATGTATCTAAGCTTTACTCGACTATAAAATTATTGTACTAAGTACATGCTATTATTTTTAAACATAATTATATATTATGTTAGAATAATATTCAATCGACATGAATCATGCGCAGCAGGCAAAATGTAAATCTACAGTTAAATTACAAAGCTATATACACAAAGTAACAATAATTAAGAAAAATGACAAACAAAAACAAATTATTTTCGTGTAACTGTATAGTCAATTTCACAATTAACATATTTTTTTTTTAATTTTTATATTTTACTTTTACTGGACTATTATTTATGTATTATTCCACATTGTCACTGTAATTCTGTTTCATTTATAAGTAAAAAAAAAGCAGCAAGCCATACACGTACTTTTTTATGGTCATTTATTTATTCTAATGTGAATTAATATTTATACTATATTTCTAATAAATAATACCTTATTCATATTATTTATAATTAATATATGTTAATACAATGTAATAATAATTATGATATGGATATATCAGATCAAATGTATATTGTAATATGCAATTATTTTAAGACAAAATCTTTTACTTGTATTTTTGACTAAGATAATTTTCATTGTGGTTCAATAAACAGAATATAACTATTAATCTCAAAATAATTAAAAAGTGATTATAGATATAAAAAGTCCACTTTTTAAATTTCCATAATAATTCTATTGTATTTGATGTATCAAGTTTGTATAAAAATGGAGGTATAAATTATGTTTATTAATTATTCTTTATTGCACCACATACAGAAATAAGGATTAAAGTAAATAATGATATAATATATTGCATTACTCAAGTTTATCAAACTTGAGTAAGTATTAAACTTTGTTGAACAAAGCTTGTTCAAAGTATGCAAAACACTTTGAATAAAGAAATTACATAGTTATACATACAAAAATACTGACGAATCAATGTACGAGTATATTTAACAAAGAACAATATTATGATTATAAATTCTTAGCTCTCTAAGTGAACTTTCTAGATTTGAAGTAAAAAAAAAAAAAAAAAACAAACGAACTTATTTGAATATGTTAAATTTCAATAAATCATATAGATCTTAAATAATAATAGATTTATACATTTACAGTCTTATTTCTATCATACGATATTTATATTGATCAAATAAGGAACACTAGTTATGTATCAAATGACATAATTTCAATAGAATGCAAGCTGCCATTTCGTGTAGAACCAACATGGCTGTATCTTGGCTTTGGAGCTTTTTACGCAGATGGCGTAATTCATAGTCATTTATTATATAATTTTCGGTGAAAAAAAAAAAAAAAAAACTATTTTTGTTTTATTAATTTAAAATATAATCGGCGTAAGATTAAAAACGAAATAAATCAATTTTTGTAGTATCGAGCAAAATTTTTTTTTTTACTGCAATTTTTACGACATACGAAACATTTTTTTTATATACGATTCTTGTGTAAAGGTTTTTTACAAATCAACCAATCACAACATTTTTTTACGACCCCTGCACAACAAAAATGTTTTATTTGTTAAAGTGAGGGTATGTCAATAAGTAGTGTTAATGAATATGTCATATAGGGTGTCCACCATGAATACCTCTGTCCCACAATTTTATTTTATGCTTAATTAGTAGCATACTTTCCATGGTTGTATTTTGATTGGTATAATGAAATTACAGTATATGACAATGTTTGTGAGGAAGCACAGATATAAAGACTTTTGTAAACTTTATAATGCTATTCTTGATTTTTGCTTTTTATTAGGTTGTCAATTTGTTTGTCATTCTAAATTTTACAAAAATCTATTAGCAGCTAAATGCGATCTTAAATGCTATAATTTCATTGTGTAAAAGTCTATTGAGAGAACTCATGGCACACACGCCTGTGACAATATTATCCCATTATAACGAAATATAATATAAGCTCTATATAAGCAACTCATTTGAACCAATTTCAATAAAAAAAAATCTTATTGGGAAAGATTTATAGGGAAAAAGGAGTATAAAAATACTTTACCGTCTGGAAAATATTTTTCTTTTTCTTTTACTAGGCTGAGTAGAACTAATAAAATATAAAGAATGTTGCTTATATATATAGAGCGTTCACTGTATAATATTATAGATTCATAGTTTAATATAATGATTATAATGTACGTGTGTAAAGACTTTGTGCTATTTTATATAACATTAAGGTGAAAAAAACCTTCCTCAGTGATTAGTTGTGCGCTACATTGCATTCTTTTTGTTATGTAATTTTTTACGCAGTGTAGTCAGTTTTATTAATAAATTATAATTTCAATGCTGCGTACAACTTTAGTAACATCGAATTCAATTGTTTCGGAATATACAATTCAATTTTAGTGGTGAAATATTTAGTTTTATAAATCACACTTTATGTTTTATTCTCATCAGTAATTTGGACTACATAATAATTTGGTGCCGTGACCAGGATTACAGACAAATATTAATGGTTATTTGTATATTTTTTGTATTACCTACTATATTTTTGTTTTGTATTTTATTGCTGATTTAGATTTATTAAATGTTATAACTCGTTTGAATAATATTGTGACAAATACCATATAAACTTTTCCAAAATCTGTTAATCGGAACAAAATTGTACAAACTCTATTTATCTTTTATCAAATAGGATGTTCGAAAAAACAATATTTATTAACGAGAATAATACAGTTAGTCACGTGAAGTGATCGCTTTAAAAATAAATTTTTAGTCTTTCTCTCAAATTACTGACTAGAATAAAAAAGTTTACAACCGATAAAAAATACACCGCATACCGAATGTTCACTTCCTCTGCCTCTGCTTGCGCGACTGCTTCCTGGTGTCGGCGCGCGTGGGCGGGCGTGCCGCTCTCAGGCCGCGGGCGCGAGGCGTGCGCAGCGGGCGGCGGACGGCCGGCGGCGGGCGGCGCTAGAACGACCGCGCCAGGTACACGCGGCCCGCGCCGCCGCGGTGCACCTCCACGAACCCGAGCTTGCTGTAGAACTGGTGCAAGTAGTGGTCGGTCGCATTGATGCACGCGTGGACGCCGTTTGCGCCTGCGAACACGAGTTAATGATCATTGTAGACAGTATGGTTATTATGTAATGGTTATGAAGAACACTTAAGAGTAATATATGCTTTTATATACGACAATACAAGTATAAAATATATACATAGTCTACCCAGTGGACAACATGGTAGGATAAGAGTAAATATTTACAATATATATGCTTTTGTTGACAATACAACAATCAAGTATAAAATATATACATAGTCTACCCAGTGGACATGTCAACATGGTAGGATCCTACAACGTGATTAACGGACAGATGAATACAATAGTGCAGTATATCCACTGTATGTCCAGATGGAAGCCGTGTAGCCGTGTAGTATAGTGTCAGTGTATCGACCGTGTGCCCGCAGCGCGGCCAGCAGGCAGGTGAGCAGGCGGGCGGGCGCGAGCGGGTGCGGCCGCAGCAGCACGTCAGCAGCGCGTGTACAGTGTACCAGTGTACAGTGTACCGACCGTGTGCCCGCAGCGCGGCCAGCAGGCAGGTGAGCAGGCGGGCGGGCGCGAGCGGGTCGCGGCAGGCGGGCGGCGGCAGCACGCAGCACGTCAGCAGCGCGGTGTGAGCAGTGTAGTGTAGTGTAGTGTAGTGTACAGTGTACAGTGTACCGACCGTGTGCCCGCAGCGCGGCCAGCAGGCAGGTGAGCAGGCGGGCGGGCGCGAGCGGGTCGCGGCAGGCGGGCGGCGGCAGCACGCAGCACGTCAGCAGCGCGGTGTGAGCAGTGTAGTGTAGTGTAGTGTAGTGTACAGTGTACAGTGTACCGACCGTGTGCCCGCAGCGCGGCCAGCAGGCAGGTGAGCAGGCGGGCGGGCGCGAGCGGGTCGCGGCAGGCGGGCGGCGGCAGCACGCAGCACGTCAGCAGCCCGGTGTGAGCAGTCTCGTGTTGTGTAGTGTCGTGTTCAGTGTTCTGTGTACCGACCGTGTGCCCGCAGCGCGGCCAGCAGGCAGGTGAGCAGGCGGGCGGGCGCGAGCGGGTCGCGGCAGGCGGGCGGCGGCAGCACGCAGCACGTCAGCAGCAGCGGGCGGCGGCAGCACGCAGCACGTCAGCAGCACGTCAGCAGCGCGGGCCAGCAGGCAGGTGAGCAGGCGGGCGGGCGCGAGCGGGTCGCGGCAGGCGGGCGGCGGCAGCACGCAGCACGTCAGCAGCGCGGTGTGAGCAGTGTAGTGTAGTGTAGTGTAGTGTACAGTGTACAGTGTACCGACCGTGTGCCCGCAGCGCGGCCAGCAGGCAGGTGAGCAGGCGGGCGGGCGCGAGCGGGTCGCGGCAGGCGGGCGGCGGCAGCACGCAGCACGTCAGCAGCGCGGTGTGAGCAGTGTAGTGTAGTGTAGTGTAGTGTACAGTGTACCGACCGTGTGCCCGCAGCGCGGCCAGCAGGCAGGTGAGCAGGCGGGCGGGCGCGAGCGGGTCGCGGCAGGCGGGCGGCGGCAGCACGCAGCACGTCAGCAGCGCGGTGTGAGCAGTGTAGTGTGTAGTGTAGTGTAGTGTACAGTGTACAGTGTACCGACCGGCGGGCGGGCGCGAGCGGGTCGCGGCAGGCGGGCGGCGGCAGCACGCAGCACGTCAGCAGCGCGGTGTGAGCAGTGTAGTGTAGTGTAGTGTAGTGTACAGGTACAGGTGAGCAGGCGGGCGGGCGCGAGCGGGTCGCGGCAGGCGGGCGGCGGCAGCACGCAGCACGTCAGCAGCGCGGTGTGAGCAGTGTAGTGTAGTGTAGTGTAGTGTACAGTGTACAGTGTACCGACGTCAGCGCGGCCACTGAGCTCGCGGCGCACGTCAGCAGCGCGGGGTCCACACTCTCCGCCGTTCGAAAACTGGTGGAAGTGCCAGATGCAATCCTGGGGACGAGATAGGACAACATCCATTTACCACCAGAAAGGACAAGCGTTGGAATACATGTCATGTGTCTTTAATTCTCCCAGTCCGGGAATGTCTGCCAAATTCGACATTAATCGAAAGCACGCTGTTGATTCGTTTCCGATTTTGATAATCAGCTACAGGATATAAATTATATTTGCACATTCCAAATAATTGAGATAAGAGCAGAAATAATATAAAATGAAATATTACTTTAACAATATTTGAAACAATTTAATTTAAACTTAAATATCGATAACTTTAAAGGAATGCTATTGCATTAATCACTAAGCTCATCACTAGAATAATTTTGCCGTTTAAAAATGGAATACTTTTAAAATTTAATTACATCATGATTTTAGAAAAACCCTCCTGATTGTATGTAGACACCGACTATTTTCATGTGGTCGATGTAAAAGTAATTTCAGAGGTTAGAGTAAATTTCGAGCCAATAACTCGAAACTAAACATTAATAAATTTAATACCAATAATTTCGAATTACGTTGTCATAAATCACAAACCTTGGCCGCTTGGCTGAGATCCTCCCTCTCCATGAGCGACTCGGGATACTTGTTGCACATCTCCGGTATCCAAGCGATCTCCTGTCGCTTGTAAAACTCTTTACTATTCAACGCCGCGCATGCGTAACCCACTATCTCGGGTTTCGTCCCTGTGGATATGTATTCTCTTGTTTTTATTTATTTTTCAACCAACTTAAAAAATAAGGTGGTTCTCAATTGTATTTTTCTTATGTTTATTACCTCATAACTCCGTCAGTTGTAAACCAATTTGAAAAATCCTTTTTATTTAAAAATATATACTTACAGATTTACATATTTTCTCAAAATCAGTTCAGTGGTTTAGTTTTTAAATCAAAATAACTGGTTTTGCCATAACTGAAGTTGATTTTTTATATAAACTAAATTAATTATATAGCTTAAGTTCGTAAATTAGTTAATAAGATTTGTAAGCAGAAGAGGACTCATGACTTCACGACTCGGGGACTTCACACTAGGTGTGAAGTCTTGGGAACAAAATGTATAACTAACCAAACTGTACTGGAATCAATATCAATAAGAGCGGCCAGTAACTACGTGCGACCACGTCGACGACACCTATTCGATGTTCCATTACGAAGAACAGAGTTGGCTAAGCAAGTTCCCCTATCTCTTGCATTGACTCTACTCAATGATATTTTGAGCCAATATCCACAATTGGATGTATTTGCCTCCAACTTGCTGGAGTTTCGTCAAGTGACCACAGAGTATTTGTGTTCAGACGTTTTTTGTTTGAGTTAAATCTTTTTATATTATTTTTTATTTAATATTTTTGTGTAATATTCCTTTTTATATGTTATTGTACTCATGCTTTCCTGGGTGAGCGTATTAGAAGACTGTAAGGCTCACCCAGTGAATGTAATAAATAAATAAATAATTGTAACATGTCTTTTTGATTTCAATAGATATTATTATAATTATTTTATTAAACACAATTCTAATTATTTTTATTGTTAGGAAGACAAACGAGTATTATGGAAGTAGTATATAAAAAAAAAAATATTTATGAATTTTTATTTAAAAATGATGAATACTTATATAAAGAAGACACAAAATGTTACCGAAATAAGAATAAGAATGTCAGTGACCTTTTACTTTTCAAATGTTAGTTAAAAAGTATGGTTCGCAAGGAAATCGCTAATTTCTAAGTTGTTTTAATATGCCGAAAAGTCAGCTTCATTTTTATTGTTATTTATTTTTCTTGAATGAATCAAGAAAATATTTGTAAGTACATACCATTGATTCTATCTTCGAGTTTGTGGTCGCTCCCTTCGCTGTCAGGGTCGTCACAGTATCTTAGTGTGCATTCCTGGTCATCTTCTATTACCATACACAGCTCAGGAGTCAATGTAAGGAACGGTACTACTAATCTATAAAGAAAATTGTTATATGAATAATAGATGTAATATTGTGATTACGTAATCTGAATGATAGAATGTCAGACATACATTAACCACTTAATGCGAGGGTTTTTCTGTGAAATGAGGTCAACTGGCACACGTACTAAATTCGAATGAGTATACAATAAATATATACTAAGCTCTATGAAATATAAACGGGCGAGTAGGTATCGCTCCAGATAAAAATATAAACATAATATTTACAACTGGCGAGAGGTACTCGGGATACATTTGATTGAGGGTCTCGTTCGAGATGCTTAAGTGGTTAACAAAGTTTCCTAGTTATATTTCAGTAACAATGACTTATAAATCAGCATTCACTCACCTATCTGCAGGTAGTGTTTGTAGATCGCTAGGGAATAAATCGCTACAGTCGGAACCATCCCGGCACGTTTTGTGACAAATGGCACATACCTGTGAAAAAAATACTATTATCTATTGTGTTAAAGAAATTGTGGGTGATTATTAAAAGAGAGAGAAATGAAAATATAGACAGGTAGAGATGGTAAGAGTGTGTGTGAGAGTGGAAGAGAGAGACAGAGATAAGAGAGAGAAGAGAGAGAGAGATAAGAGACGAGAGAGAGAAGAAAGGAGAGAGAGAGAAGAGAGAGAGAGAGAAAAGGAGAGGAGAGAGAGATAGAGAGAGATAGAGAGAGAGAGAGAGAGAGAGATGAGAGAGAGAGAGAGAGAGAGAGATGTGGAGGCGAGAGAGAGAGAGAGAGAGAGAAAAGCGGTGAGAGAAAGAGAGCGCTCGTCGGCGGCGGAGAAAGAGAGGCCGCAGCGAGAGCGGCAAAAAGATGGAGAGATAGAGCGCGCGGCGGAGAGAGGAAGGATAGCGAGCGCCGTCGAGAGAGAGCAGCAGGCGGGAGCAGGTAGTGGCCAGCCCGCCGCGGAACACCCACGCGCTCGTCGCGCGCCGCTCTCGAACGCCGCGCGCCACCCCTTCGAGAACCCTGCGCCACGCCCCACCCCGCCCCAGACGTATTCACTTTCAATTATATACATTTGCTTAAACATCTTCCGTTCAAATATGTACCTACATTTGTTAATAAAAATCACACTAGCTACTTTAAATATAATAAAACGTTAAAATTGTTATTATACCAAATTTGGTAATAAATTATTCCTTGTAATGTATATAGAACACTAATTTATATTTTAATCAATTTTATAATTATTTATTCTCATGATACTTGAATAAAAATTAATGAAATTGTAAGGACACGTGGTCTCGCTGACTTGTTCACTCGAATTCGGCCCTGTAGATATAAAAGATTGTTATATAATAATAATTTATTTGTCCAACCGTTGAACATGTGAACGAATCTGCCATATCAGGAAATAAGTATAGTAAACCACGTGGTCATTATATAAAATATATCACAATTATTGTTGATGGAAGTCCTAAAAAAGCTATATTTTAATAAGTAACAATGGACTAACAGAAGTTGGGTATATATGTTATATTATTTATTATATATCAAGTATAAAGTAAAATAAGTAAATATATGATTTAATAGTATGATATCATTAAATGGAACTTATGTTTTTTCTATTTATTATTAAGTTACAACCTTTATATTGCAAATATATTATATACATATATGTAAAGTTAGTATTACGTTATTTTGTGGTTTACGTATTACAATAAACTATTCTATAAACGTACATGTATATGTTCCTTGTGTGTATGTCGCTATGTTAGGAGGGAATTTGCCCAATTCTGAAACAAAGTAAACATATAACACACTGTTACAAAAATATTTATTAATATAGTAATCTTAATTTCTCAAGCTGTTAGATGTGTTGTTTGTTATACCCTAAAAAATTTTAGCTTATGTAGATACAGTGTCTCCATACAAATGCTTCGAGAAAAGCGGGTCAACTTTTTTCATATTATAATACAATTTTGCGTGATAAAAATTACAAGTATTTCCTTTATAACTTCTATATTTATTTTGTCTTATAAATTTTGCACCTTTATAATAAGCAAAAACACATTTTATTTATTAAATATTGATACGTCAATGTACATTGTATTGCATAAGTATAAAGAACATTAATAAAAAAGCAAGTCAGCTAATTTGACGTGACAAATAGCACATACCTGTGAAAAAATTTTAAAGAAATTGTGGCTGGTTATTAAAGAGAGAGAAATGAAAATATAAACAGGTAGAGAGAGGTTAAGAGAGAATCTGTGAGAGTGAAAGGACAAGAGAGGGTGAAATCTGTGTGTGTGTGTGTGAGAGAGGTACCCCATGCTGTAGTCTCTTGGAGAGAAACCTCGAGCAGAGAGAAAACTCATTTGCTTATTATAAGCAAATGAGTTTTTGCCATTAAGATAATAAGGGAAAGAGAGTCATTTTATTTATTAAATATTGATTCGTCAATGTATATACTGGCGGGCATGAGAGATGATATAGGACATTAATAAAAAAAATGACAAAAAGTTGACCCGTTTTTAAGACTCGCGGCTCCATCTATATAATCTAAGGTTAAAATACATGTAGTGACTGATGGCAATAGAGTTGTTTAGTTGGTGTACACACCGAGCCAGCGCACGAAGCCCTCGAGCAGCGCGAGCACGGCGCACAGCTCCCAGACGTAGGGCTGCAGCTCGGCGTGCAGCTCGCGGTTGGCGGCCGCCGCCAGCCGCCGCGCCAGCCGCCGCGCGCGCCGCGTCCACCACGCGAACCGCGCCCGCCGCCGCATCCACTCGCTCGTCTGCACGTTCCATATTTGAATTTTAGAAAAAAGATCAACATCGTCAATCCGCGTTCCATATTCAAATATATATTTACAATGTAAAGGTACTCATGAAACAATTAATGTGTGTGTGCTACTGTTTGGACTTTGTACAAAAGTCGATTGCTTGGGTACCTCTGTCCCATTCGTGTTTCAACCGTAAAGCAGTTGTGTTTGCACGACTGTGTTTCGGTTTCAAGGGTGGGATATGGCATGATTTACAGGGTATAGAGGAATAACACCTGAATCCTCAGGAATGGCAACGCATGGGGGGTATCATGGGTGAAACAGTATACTCTGTTATGCCCATGGTACTGCTCATGTCTATAGGCGACGGTTACCACTTTCCATCAGGTGGGCCGTCAGCTTGTTTGCCATTCGTAGTTGTATAAAAAAGAAAGTCATAAGTGTCATAAACTGTCTTAAGAGGTAGTTGGAGGTAATAAGATAAGCGTTCGAGTGGAAGGGCACCTCGTGCGGCTTGTTGGGGCGCGGCAGCACGCTGGCGGCGTGGCAGGCGAGCCAGTGGAAGTCGTGCAGCAGGCGCAGGCCGCGCGAGCCGTGCTCGAAGGGCAGGTAGAAGGCGTCGCACAGCAGCACCAGGTCCTCCGCACACAGCGACGACCCGTCCTCGCCGCCCGCCTCACCCTCACCTGCCTCGCCGGCCTCCACCGCCTCCACCGCCTCCCGCGGAGACGCGCCGCTGCTACGACCATAATGACAGTCTTACATTATACGTATACTGTATACATTATATAAACTCTACAGTATTTAAAAGTATTTAAATAAAATTTTGTAAATAAACAGTTCATATCTTCATCATCATTTGAGCCCTCAAGAATTGCACGGGAGATATGATGGGCGAAACAGTATACTCTGTTATGTCCATGGTACTACTCATGTATATAAGCGATGGTTACCCTTTTACTTTAGGTGGGCCGTCAGCTTGTTTGCCATTCTAAGTTGCATAAAAAAATATATAGATAGAGTGTCTCCATACAAATGCTTCGTTATGAGTGATTTTTTTTATTACTTCTATATTTATTTTGTCTTATAATTTTTGCACTTTTTTATTGCGTAAATAGTCATTTTATTTATTAAATAATTACATATAAATACGTCAAGATACATTGTGTAGCTGACAGAGTTGACAAAAAGTTGGCCGGTTTTTGAGGCTCGGTACTCTATCTATATAATCTAAGTGTTCAGCGTACAGTACAGAGACAGCTGTTAGTAATCTTGTTCATCTAACAAAACAAAATACATAATAAACACAAAGCGAGACACTTGTGAGTACAGAGAAAATTATCCTCCACAGTTAACAACCACAAACTACGTCTGAGCAGAGCAAAGTATTAAATTATACACTTGCATGTTAAGAATAAATGTGTAAACGGTGACACTGATAAATGACAAGTGCATTAAACACATTGCAGTATCTCTTTCAAACTTTACATTGGCAAAATCATTAGAACCCCAATGGAGTCATAATGTAAAAAAAAAAAAAAAAACTGGCAGAAACATTGTTTATTTTACGTTTTTAAACGATTCTGGAGTAAAATAAATAGTAAATACTCTTAAATATAAATAATTCACAAATAAATCACTACACACTCTGAACATTACTTTTTTATATTATTTACGTCATCGAGTTTTTGTACGGAATTACGACCATGGATCACGCCCTTTTTGTATCAAGAGTCTATGGTTTGTTATTAATAAAGATAGATTTAACACTACTCACTCATCAACCACATCCACTGGGTCCACTGGCTCCACCATCATGTCCGTGCTGAGTGGACTGTTACTCGGCTCCACCTGCATTGAGCCATTCTGAAATAACGTTTGTATATTGACATATTGTCACAATATACCAGCTCCTTTATAGAATATGCTGAGGAGGAAGATCCTTTTATGTGAATTGATTAATTGGTTCATCATATCAGACATTAACTGTCCACTACTGAACATAAGCCTTCACCAGAAGAGGGAGTTTGGCCAGTAGTTGCCACGCTTGACAGGCGGATTGGCAACCGCAATTAGGCTTTTAGTGATATTTTAAGGGACGCTGCTGTCCATCCCTTGACCATTAAGTTCGCTTAGTCGCCTCTTACGACACTCATGGCAAAGTAAGAGATGGCCTATTCTATGGCGGAGCCCACACGGCGAATAAATGGTTATTTATTTTGTTTAATTCCATTACTATTGGTATGTGTGTGCGAAATTGTAAAAGTTTCACAGTTTGGGTGTCCAATGGTTAACACTAAGCATCAAGCAGCAATCTAATAATTTGCCTGAAGATGCCTCGTTTAGAGGCGAAACACATGTCATAAAACATGCGTAAACAAAATGGTAATCGGAGATTGATGGCCAATATGGATGATTATGGAGCTTCTGGTAGTAATAGTGGAGGTCAATCTTCGAGGGTTGGCATTCACACACATATTAATGGTAGCAGAATTAAATAAATATTTCTATAATATAATATGGTAGACTTGTGTCTCATGCATTGCCATTCTTTATGATCTGATACGATAAGCACGTACCTCGCTAGTGCCGTCATTCATAATGACGTCTGGGTCCGTTGTGTCGGCAGCGTCGATGGGGTTTTCGGGGTCGCTGGGGTCCACCGGGTCGCCGGGTCCGGCAGCGGCTGGCGGCGGGTCCACATCCAACGGCTCCAGCCCCGCCTCTACCGCCTCCGCCGCCGACGAACGGTTCGGACTCAAGGTTTGGGGGGTATCTACACAAACGTCATTTATTTATTTAAACTTTAATGCACAGTAAAATTCTATGTACATTTGGCGGACTTAACACCGGACGGTGTTCTCTACCAGTCAACCATTGGGCAAATCGAGAAATAAGTAGGCGGTGCATTATTGAATAGAGAAAAAATAAAGCAATACTTGATATATTCATATATTATAAACATATAATGAGACTAATGTAAACATACACATAATATATTAAATAAATAAATAAATATATACATAAAATATTACTATATAAAACAAGTAACTGTAATAGAAGAGTAAATAGCAATATATCTATAATATATATATATATATATATATATATATATATATATATATATATATATATATATTCTCTACATATAGCTAATACCTATACCTATAGCATTAAGTCAGATTTTCATTAAGTATATTTAGCATGTGTATTTGTATACTATTTTATATGATTTAGATATTGTATGTTTCACTTTCAAAGTAAAATAAATAAATAAATCTGCAATAATAGTGGCCCACCTGATGGACAATGATAACTACTATCTATTCCTGAGACAACAGGCAAGACTCATTATGGGTGCTCTAACTGGACATATGCCAATAAGGCATATACTATACAAGATGGGTCTATCTTCGGACACACTGTGCAGACTGTGCGAGGAGAAATCGGAATCCATGGAACACTTGATGTGCAACTGTGATTCATTGGCAAGTATGCGTATGAGTCTACTGGGAACGGCTTATCCAGAGCCAGGGATCTACAGATATCTTAAACCGCTGGATATCATTAAGGTAACGCATAGGATCTATGAAATGATGTAAAAGCAGGGGGAAGTACAAAAGATCCTGATGGGTCGACGTGCAACGGTTTAGCTGACCCCATATGCGAATATAAGATCTATTCCTGAGGACTGATGTTATACCTCTTTAACCTGTAATTTCACTGTCATATCCCACCCTTCAAACTGAAACACAACTTAGCAGCAAAATAGAACTTAACCAATTTAAAGTTTTAATTATTCACAGACCAAGACTTTGAAATTGAATCACTTTAGTAAAAAAATAAATACAAACGACTCACCACCAATATTCATATCACCGTTTCTCTGCTGTTCCTCAATTGGTGCATCCACATCATCAACTATAATCGTGTCATCTTCTTTGTCCTTCTTCATATCTTCTAGAAAACTAGTGCCCTCCAATACAGAATCGTTAGATATGGTCTCGTCAATTTTCTCACTCATCGACTGATCTGACTTCTCCATATTGTCCTCTAAAACCTTAATACCGAGTATTGGTACTGGTAGTGTTGAAACTGGTATCTCTGACGGTAGGGATATATTTGAACTGGCCATCGGTATTATTGGATTGGGTATAGACTCATTGAGTATCACTTTGGTTGGTGATACTAATGAATTCATCACTGGGTTTGATACTGGGTTGAATGTTTCTATTGGGGAAATCTGCAATAGAGGAGATGAGTTTTCTAGTTCCAAACCATAAAATAAGTATATAACAATACTATTTCAAACAGTACTCTTTGTCCTTTCATTACATACATACATATATACGCCTGTCTCCCATTAGGGTGGCAGAAACAATGGAACGCCAAATTTCGATTCAAACAAACCTCTTTCGCTTCTTCCACATTCATCAATCTTGTCCTTTCATTAGTACATCATATATAGGGTGATAAACTCTATTTGGAAGGAGTCTGTTAGCGATACATGTAGACTAATAGCCCTATTGCTAGAATACACTCTAAGAGGTACTACGGTTAATTTTGGGTGAAAAATTTATGATGATTAATTACCTGACCTGACTATATCCTCGCCATAAACGATAAGAGTTGTCAACTTGGTAGATTTTATTACCCTATGTTTATTTTAAATAAAAAAAATCAATGTTTACGTAACACGTTGTTCGAAGCCCCTCCCGCCCCTGTAAGGCATCGTAACGTTTTAAAAGACCCCCCCACTCTCCACAAATTGCGTTTATATATTTGTATACTTGTATGATCCCATAGAATAAAGTCAAATGAGTCGGTCCATCGCAAAACAAAAGGAATTACAAAGCTTGTCTTTGTAATTCCTAGTGAATTTGCGATGGATGGCTGGATCGCGTGGTGTTCGACCGGCAAGTAGATAGCTAACAATGGAATGGCTATGTCCTTTACTAACAAACCCTCAAGTTTGTTTTTTTCAATGGATGATAATGAAATGGTATTCCCACCTGCGCTATCGGTATACACTGACGTCAACTAGGTCAATTTGACATAGGGAAGTCGATGTTATGACGACGACGAGGAGTCACTCACCCCGGTGGAGAGTATCGGTCGGTCGGGCGCGGCGCTGCACACGTCTGCGAGCGCCTGCAGCTGGCTGGTGTGCACGGTGGGGATGTTGGCCGTGCTGGTCGTGCAGGTGCTGCTCGTGCCCGTCACCAGCGACATGCACGTGTTCACCGACGGCATGATCGGGATAATCGGCACCGGCGGCACTGGATCGCGTGTGTACATACATTTGTTTATACAAGGTCATATCAGTCATGGTTTTTATGTCACAGTGGTTGTTTTTTAATGTGTGATAATGGAATTATAATCTCGCCTGCGCTATCTGTATACGTTAACGGGGCACCAGCGAGTGTTAATAGATGAAGATGAAAGCAGAGGGCCTACCATGAAATGTTTTCCGAAATGTCTGAGCCAAACGAAACAGAAATTTCATGTTAAAATTATATAATACATGCCGTTTGGAAATATTAAAATTGTTAAAATATTATTCCTTTGGACTTTTATGATAGGATGTATGACGAAAGAAATGTTAAACTCCATTCATTGGTCCGATTTTGATACAAACAAAAACACGAAATTGAGTCCGAAATTTCGGTATTTCATTTCATGGTAGACCCGCAGGTCAGTTGGCCCATGGTAACGAATTCAACAAGGATTAAGCGACCAGTCGATAAGTGGACCAGATAGGATATATTTCATATAAGCAGGCCTACTTTTGAATTTAATATCAATATTAATCCAATTTAAAGTCAATGATGATTTCGTACTGCACTCATCAAATAACCATTAGGTATTAAGTTAAAATTGGGATCAATTTACAATTGTATTGGCAAGTTGCACTAATATGCATCTATCAGAACATAATGGAACTATTATGTAACTAGTATTTAATTTTAAAGTGTTAAATTTAAAAAAATTTAAAAGTTGAAATACCAAAATCAATCTATTGGAATTTATTTCAAGAGTAATCACACAGGTCGACTTCCACGCAGTTCCCAAGCAATGGAGCTTTGAAGAGGTTTGAGACATTAGTAACAATCTAATATTGTCGTCGGGATAAAACTGACTTATGTAACGGTCGTACAAAACTCGACATTGTTACTGTTACCAAACAATCGTGCTAGTATAGATGTGTTTAGGTTCACTCAAAAAGGGTGAGATATAAACAGTGAATTTACAAAGCATTGAGGTATAACAATTTAGTCCTCAGCAATGGCAATAGATAAAGGGCACCATACACATAATTCAGTATAATCTACTTTGTCTATGGTACTATATACATCTAAATGGCTTGCAAAAATAAATTTTCAAGTTGTGCAAAGTGGGCCGTCAGCTTGTTTGCCGTTCTAAGATGTATAAAAAAAATACATTTATTGGTTAATATTTTTTACTAAGTGCATGATAAGCTTGTTTCCTTATTTCAAGTTGTATAAAAAATTTAGAACTAATTAGTTTAAGCCAACTATGAACAAAATCAATAACCAACCAGTCCCAATTACATTTCAACCGTAAAACAGTTGTGTTTGCATAGCTGTGAATTTACAGAGGAATAATACCTGAGTCCTCAGGAATGTCAACGCATGGGGAGTATCATGAGCGAAACAGTATTATACTCTTGTTATGTCCATGGTACTGCTCATGTCTATAGGCGACGGTTACCACTTTCCATCAGGTGGGCCGTCAGCTTGTTTGCCTTTCTAAGTTATAAAAAAAAAAATCATACTGAGTCAAGATATGTATATATTATGATAGTTTTTCATAACTCATTCAGTTATGTGCTATCAATTTACTTGTTTCTAGAAAGATGCAAAATAAGAATTCATAATTACCTGTGACTGAAGGTTGCGCTTTTATAATTGGCCCCTGGGCAGTTTTTGGTATTGAAAACTCTGGTAACCATTCGTTAATAGCGTGCCTGCAAATTAAAATCGTTAATTAATATTTCTATTGCTCCTTCTTCCATCCATCTCATTTCAGCTATTACCTTTTATTGATGTGTTCATATGGCCTTAAGCTTGGTAGTGAGGAGTAAGATTTTTTTGTTCTAACTTAGATTTAAGCATTTTTTAATAGTAGTTTATCTCTTTTACTTACTTATAACATTGTATATTGTCTGCTTAATTATTGTGAGCATATTGTTGGTGTGTCTTTTATAAATAAATAAATTACAAGGTAGAAGGGACAAATTAGCCAAAACGAAAACAACTGATTCAGATGAATGGCCTGAATCAGATGGCAGAATATTATCCAACCATTTACAATACAACACAGCCATATAATTAACAATTCTCAGTTTCGACGCCGCGCAATGTATTTGAAATTTTATGATCCACACGATGCGTGATACGTAGGTATTGGCGCGGTCGTTGTCATCTCTTTGTAGTTTTCGTACGCTTGGATATAAAAAATAATTTTCCAAATCGGTTTATAAATGACGGAGTTACGAGTTAACAAATATAAAAAAAAAGAAATAGAATTAAGAACTCCATTCTCTTTTTAAATCGGTCGGAATTTGGTTCATAAAAGGCAAAGATACACAATATATACTAATTGTTAGTGGCGGACTTAAATGTCTAACTAAACAATAACACCCGAATATATTTTTTGTCTCAGTTACAGCAATCAAAGTATCTAATTTACCTGATCAATACATTATGTACTTGCAAATTATGTGCGCTAATAAATAAAATAAAATAAAATAAAATTGAAAGGGATGCTAAACAAAAGTGAATTATCTTCCATCTCTTTTATATTTACCGGTGCTGATTTCCAAAGTCAAAAGTGTAATTATACCGAAAAAGCTCGACTAGTTTCGGGATCAATTCGTGATCCTTAGTCACGAATGACTGTGATGTGAGCACGAGCCTAAGAATCACAAATCTATTCCGAAACTGGTCGAGCTTCTTCGATCTAATTACACGTAAGTTAAACTTTTAACAATACAGTTAATAGTATTAAATATGTATGTATTTTGTATCTATTAGTTTTTATTACCTGAGCGCCTGCCGATGATGGTAGACGTGTTTGCCGAGCGTCAACGGCGCCTCGTCATCGCACACGCCCTGTTCGCTCTCTCGCTCTAACTTTATGTCCCATGACACCGCTTCCACTGTTATAACATAATTAATATAATGTAAAATTCGATGGAAAAAGGACTTCAATAGTAGTATTAGTACCCATAGTACTAAAAACAGATAAGTATGAGTTTAGCACGGGTGTCAACATTTATGAATCATTAAAATCAGTATATGACCAACGAAGATGTTGCACATAAAAAGTTATAATTAAACTGAGAGTGTCTTACTTCATAACAGCTTGTAATTAAAATAATGTTTTACAATACAGATATATTGAGAAATTGATCCTTTTTTTTTAAATTGAATTAAAACAATTATATTAAGGAAACTTGATCATCTAGTTATTTTTATAAGTCGATTTATAAATTACCTTATTTATTATGAAAAAAAAAAAAACAATTTAATGAAAGGGTAATATATATACAAAATCCATATGGACTTAAACATACTGTGCGCGGGCGCATCCAAGCTGCAGCTGGCCCAGTGTGCGAGCGTCCATATGGGGATCATGTTGGCGTTGTACTCGCAGTTAGGGTTCGTTAGCACGCCGCGCAGCAACGGGATCAATTCCGGCGATCGACCGCAGTATGGGCCTGGCGACAATTTTATAGCAGTTTATTATAATATATTAAAGCGGAAGGGTTTGTTTGTTTGTTTAAACGCGCTAATCACTAGAACCACCAGTCAGTACTGAGAAATTCTTTCTGCATTTGATAGCTCATTTTTGAGAAAGATAGGCCAATGAATAGGTCAATATCATGATATGATCACAGGCGTGGCCGCGGAATACAACCTGTCACATACACAAGAGAAGACTTTATTATTATTTATTCCTTAAGTTACACTAATATTTAATTATTTTTTTTTTGTTAACACTAGGCTCCGAGCAGCGATTAAATAATTTTCCTGAAGATGCCTCATTTAAAAATGAAACACGAGATGCAAGACGTGCGTGGACGAAACGTCAGTCGGAGATTGAGGGCTAATATGGTAGAACTTCTGATAGTAATGATGGTTGGTCAATCTTTGAATGTTGGCAGTCCCACAAATTAATAATTTTCAGTAACCAGTTGTCAATGTCTTGATCGAGACAATATCTTTTGAGGATTGGTTAAAATTCAACTCAATTGCATACCCAAAAAGATTCTTTTCTGGTCGTAATCGTTGGCGTGTAGATTGTCCCAGATGACGGGCGGCCGCCGCAGTACTTGTGTTATCTCCTCTATACATTCCGTTGTCAGAGTTTTCGATATAACTTTTGGACCTATAACAGTAACAGTTCAAGAAAACAATTATTACTATTATTATTTCAGCCGTTAACTGTCCACTGCTGGACATAAGCCTTCCCCATAACGGGAGATTTGCTAGTAGTTGCCACGCTTAGCAGGCGGGATGGCAACCGCAGTTAAGCTTTTAGAGATGTTTGAAGAGGGATACCGCTGTCCATCCCTCGCCCTCCCTTAGTCGCCTCTTACGACACCCACGGAAAAGGGGTGGCCCATTCTGTGCCGGGTTACACACGGCGACAATAAAACAATAAGTTACCTAAAATACAGTTGAACATGTGTAATGTGTGTGAATAGATAAACTAAAAAAAATACCTATTTTAAAGATTCTTTCACCTATTGAAAGCCACGTTATCAACAAGTAACATATTTTAGAAAAATCTATACGAAGCCGGGGCGGATTGCTTAACTTAAAACTTCTTTCGTTCAGATTTGAAATTTCCGATAAACATTCATTATAGAAAAGTTGATAGATTATTTGATAAATTTAAGATTTAATATTAAAAAAAAAATAACTACATAGGTAAATTTCGATTAAATTTGTATGGTTCAATTATGAAAGTAAACCTATTTACATGAAAAAAATATGAATTATAAAAAACGTTATAAAACAAAGATACTGTTTATGGAAGTTGGTTAAAAATGGCAGGCACGCTATTAGCGCGTACCGTTTCGTCACAAAATGACGGTTGTGACGTCATCAAGCCACTGACTCATCCATGGAAAACTTAACGTCCAAGTTCGTTAACATTTATTACATACGTAATATGTTTGCATTGTTGCCGAAACACTACCGCGATGTTTCTATGGTCTTGTTGTTTATATCTTAATAATAGCGGCCGTTTCCTCTTTAAAGATTACATATTTTTACACACCTTTAGAGGAACTTTGAAATATTAATTAAAATGGAAATTATGCTTTTTTGAATAAATTCAATTTACAACATATCACAATTTTCTTTTTGTTTACTGTTACAAAGAATTTACATTCCGAAATGGGCGGTAGATTATACCGCCCTATTCGGAATGTAAATTCAGCATAAGAAGCGCATTTTCTTATGCTGAATTTACATTCAAGAAACAATAAAAAAAAAATTATATATACTTTTATTTTCAAAAACTTTGCATCTAGGCAAGAGATTGTGACAATTCATTAGAAGCTAATGGATCATAGACAAAATTTCACGCAATATTACCTATTTTATTATGACCTGATTAGAACTTAGATTGAGCATTGTCTTTGGCCGGACTTAAAAGCGTCTGAGTATGCCATTTCATTATCATCATCATTTTAGCCTTTAACTGTCCACTGCTGAACATAAGCCTTTTCCTTGGGGGCTTTTACCAATAGTCGCCACGCTTGGCAGACGAATTGGCAACTGCAGTTAGCCATTTTTTTCTAAATTCATTATTGCAGGCCACACAGCCGTTAAATATGCCTATGATGAATTTGAATTAAATTTGATACACAGATATATTATATCCAAATTTAAAACATATATATATATATATATATATATATATATATATATATATATATATATATATATATATATATATATATATATATATATATATATATATATATATATATATATATGTAAAATAAAATAATTTATATTATAAAAAGAAGAAGGCATAATACCTGTCCACATAATGTCAATCTGCTGCGAGAGCTTAGTGCCGAGGGTGTTGAGGTATTCGGAGCTGTTGACAGTGGGCACGGCCCGCGTGGAGCAGTACTGTGTCGGGCACAGCAGAAACCGCGGGCAGCCCAGGTGCTGGTGGATCTCATTGGTCACAGACACCTGCAAACATAAATGTGTTTATTGCAGTGAAGGACTATTTGTTAGTGACAGTTAATAAATGTATAGATATAGATTTACAAATAAATAAAGGCAGACAATCTGACAGTCCACCTATCGAGAAATAGTTATTGTTACCCATGATTATACTTCCAATGTGAGAAAGGTTGCAGGGCTTTAATTTTTTTTTTATTGTTATTTGTTATTGTCAGTTAAACCTATATAGGTAAGTGAAACCAGTTGGTTACACTTGACAGTTAACAAGCAAAACAACTAAGAATAAAAATATTTTTGTGTCAATTAGTTATTAGTTTATTTTTATTTTAGATGAAGTTTCCTTAAAAAGACATGCCAAGATTTAAATATGCCATTGTCAATGTACAAAGTCATATCTATTTTTTTTAATGGTTGATAATGGAATAGTAGTATGCCTGCGTTATACCTATCAGTTGGTGGAGTAACGGGGCACCAGTAAGAGATGATAGGTAAGGAGGAAATCCCATACTGATGAATTAATAAAGATTTAACCAAATGGTTTTCAAGGGGAACCACGCGGAAGTCACCCTCCGCGTGATGGATGTATGAGTATATTGCTAGCAATGTTTGCTAGTTCCTATCACTACCACTTTCTTTACCCTCCAGTTATATCTATTAAACTATCTCCACATTACTTAGAGAGACTTACTTGTGCATGAGCAAAACTTTGGAATATCTGTTTGTCAGCCTCACTCATCTCGGGCTCGATATCATCAAATAGCAGAGCAAAGCATGTGCAGCCGAACTGAGAAACCTGTTGACAATATTAGGAACTTTATTCATATATCTTTTTTACAAAAAATGAAAAAAAAAGAAATTAAACTACTTAAAATGGCAAACAAGCTGACTATCTGATGGAAAACAATGCCTATAGACATTAACAGCACCATGAATAACACAGAATATATTATAACACTTGTAGTACCTTTAATGTGTTACCATTCCTGAGGACTAAGATGGTTTGCCTCCATATACTGTAGTTCCGCTACCACATTGTACTATTCAAAACAAAGTACTAACTTGCAGGCACAGCTACTTGGCAACAGAAATATTGAGTAGAATGACTGAATGAATGAATGGGTAAAAATTATGACAACAGACACTTAAAAAAGAGTGGTAAATATTGTTTTAATTGAAAGCAGCAAAATTTCTAGATCCAATACTGTGCTAAATAATAATTAATAAAAACTAGTGATCTGAAGCAAACAACTTTTGCACAAAGTCTCCCTCTGGTAAAATATAGATTTGTAGGACGTCTCAGCATCTATAAATAAGGGTGTTTGAGTATAAACTAACAAATTAAAATATACGCACTTGTTCCAATTTTCTCTTTAAAGTGGTGATTTCCTTCTGACTGCTATATGTTATATCGAGACCCGGCGACAGTGCGTAACAGAATATAATGCCCTGCGATTTGGCAGCAGAGATGAGAGATGTCAAATGCTCTGCTTCCTCCACAGTGTATAGTTCCCGCCAATACGCGCGATGTTTGTAATCGTCCTTTGGAGCATATACATACATGTCCATACCCCATTTTTTCAATCTAAAAATTGTTAATTAATCTTATTACATACAAAAGAAACATGCAATAAACAGCATAGCACTGTTAGGTGTTTCTTACTTGTGAAGAACAATTATCAAACAACTTCAAAAAGTAGGAGGTTCTCAATTCGGTTATTTTTATTTGTTAAATCATAAGTATGTTAATTTTTAACCAATTTAGAAAATTCTTTATTTATCACAATGGATATACTTACAGAAGTGACCGAAGAAATTTTATCAAAATTTATTCAGTAGTTTAATTTTTTAAATCAAAATAAGTGGTTTTGTCACAAATTGATTTGAACTTGTGGGAAACAATCTTTAATTATTTTTTCTTTCGATTTTTCAGTATAATTTAATATTTATTTAAATAATAAACAACCAATTGAAAGTTATTTAAAAAAGTGCTTTTCATTTGTTGTTTATTAATAGAACAAATCAGGGACAATGCTCTTGATTCATAAGTGCTGTTTCTAGAATTTTTTTTTTATTGGTAGTTTAGTAAATATGTAGAAAGTATTATGATACTAATCACAAAGATCTAGCTACTAATATACTACTTCAAATTAATCATCCTGAAATAATATTATTAATAATTTATTTTGAAGTAGTTTTGATTCAAATTCATTATAAATTTGGTTCATACTGGTCTTAAAATTTACTTTGTGTATATAAAGTTACACTGTAACATGAATTTGAAATTATAATTTTAGAAAATGCTTTAAAGAATGGTGCCACAGAACTGACTCCATTACTACATTTATACTTTTACACATTGTCAAAGATACACTGTCCATAATTTATTGTGGACATATACATGAAACTATATACCATGACAACAATGAGGTAATCGGAAGCTTTGATCAATAATACAAGTAGATTTTGTTTTACAAAATTAAAACTAAACTGACCTATTTTTGAATAAATTTATATGCAACTAATCTGAAAGATATGGGGGGAAGGGATTGTTAGTAATGGGGAAGTTAGTCCCTATTGCTATCAATATATCCTATCGGGTCGACCTCCATGTGGTTCCCCCTGGAAACTATCGTGACTAATTTATCATTGAATTAGTCATGATGGGTTAATTGACCTGCCATTTCATCCTCACCTATCATCCATCACTGGTGCCTCGCTAATGTATACCGATAGCATAAGTGGGGTTACTATTATATTATCATCCATTAAAAAAAATCTGAAAGATATAATTATTTTACCCTTTCAGATAAAATAAAAATTTCCAAATCGTTTTAATAATAACTAAGTTCCATAGTATTAAATGTAAAAGTATAACTGAATTGAGAACTTATTCCTCTTTTTAAAGTTGCTTAACAGCTAATAAAAAAAAAGTAAATAAATAAAAAGTAATCCTTCAACTATGAAAATTTATTCTAAAATTTAGAAACAGATTCCTTATGTTGGATGGAAACAAAATTATTTTACTGTGGGGCAATTCCATTAACTAGATACAAGAATTGATGAGGTTATCGCATATCTATAATATGACTATGTATCTATTTGAATAAATATATTCTATGTGTATATATATATATATACACACATATATATATTGAAGAGGTTTTATTCTAGTTATAAAATATTAAAATAGTATTAGAAATATTGTATAAATGCACTTAGCATGTGATTGTTCTGAAAAAAAAAAATCATATAAATCTGTTTTTAAAAGTGTAAAGAGACATTTGACATTTAGATATAAATTCTAAAAAAAAAATCACTCACTTTTGAAATAAATCTTTCCTTTGTTCAGTGGTCCACGGTCGTCCGTAAAAGCCTGCAATAGACGAGCTTAGGTCATTCACTTGCTAACAAACTTAGCTTTTATAGATAGATACAGGTGTGTATAAAAGATCTTGTAAGAACAAACAAAACTATCTAGATAATTTCCACAACTCCATATTACCTTCAACAACGCCACAGATGAAATCCTTTCGGTTGGAACTCGGTTCATCAGGTGAACTTTCAGTCATTTTAAGGAGTAATTCAATAATTTAGTACAGCAACTAATAACTGTTTGTGACTAAAAAACTTCCAATATCCGTGTGTTAGTATGCTATTTGCCTTGTGACGAGTAAATACAATCTGAGCGAAAGTATATTATAAGAATATTAGGGATCCAAAATTTGTAATGCCGGTACCGTTTCGGGTAATAAATTAATGAAATAAGCGGTACAGTCGCGAGATGGAAATATTACGGAGAAATCATGATGTGATGTGTCAAACTCTGAAAGGTATTTTCTATGTATGCATATAGCGTTTCGTTTTATCTACGTCAAAAGAATTAAACTGCGTAAATAATATGGTTTGTAAGGAGTATTGACATTTAAATATTTAAAAGCTATCTACTATGAATAAACAACTTTATAATATAAATATCAACATTTTACACTGTATTAATACATTTTCTATTACCGGTCATATTAAAATATCTAATTTTCCTTTTTTTCTCAAGTATTTGAATTTAAGCAAAGCAAAGGAATACATTTTTAATGCCTTGGATACTTAATGCTTGCTATCCCGTTATTGTATGATGCGGCAGTCATTTTGGCAATATTTATTATAAAGGAACTGTATCGAACGAAATTTTTGGAGCTGAATTCGATCTAATAATATTTATGACTAAAACTATTTATATTATAAAGTTTAATTCCTCAGAGTATATTTTAATAATTCATTTAATTTTCTATTATATTAATTATCTTTTATTCACTCGAAATAAAAAAAAGCACGAAATAAAGCAAACCCACATAATTAATAGTGATAGATGATCTAATTATTTATTATAAATAAGAGACGAGAAGGGGTTTTTCGAATTACTTTAATGTTGTTTACCACAAATAACCTTTACAGTTGCATCGAACACTGAGATACAGTAAATACTTATACCACAAAACCAATTTACTCCTGCTTATAACTGTATTATATTGTTAATACCACCTCTGTAGAGTAATTAAGAAACTAAAATTACTATTATAAATTAATTTCGTCTTTTGTCGCTTTTGCAAATGGCATATTTGTCAGAAAAAAGAACTGTATTTAAAACCTATATAATTGTGAAATCGTGCTATTAATATTTTTTTTTTACATTTAGCAATCATTCGCGAAGTATTCATGCGATTTTCGCTGCTATAGGGAATTGGTCAATCTTGTCTGCTTTTTCAGCTCAACCGATATCGTACAATTCATAGATGGCGCTCCAATATCCATACACAATACACACGCATACAGTATACACTTTTGTTAAAAATATGCGAAAAAATAAGGTTTTTTTAACTGTTAGGGAGACAAATGAGCAGACAATTCACCTGATGGAAAGCGGCTACCATCGCCTATAAACACCTGCAACACGAAAAGAGTTGCTTGTGCGTTGCCGGCCTTTTACCATAAATGTTTATAGATACGTTTTTTGTAATTCCCCATATTATATTGTAAAGAAAAGATCCGGGAGGAATGGGAGAAGGGATTGTTAGTAATGAGGATCTGATAACCCCATTGCTAACTATATACCCTATCAGGTCAACCTCCACGCGTCTCCCCCTGGAAACCTTCTCGATTAATTCTTTTTGAATTCGTCATCAGGTCATATAATTCCCTGGAACATTCCTCATTGTACAGCAGATAGAAAATGTATAAAGAGGCAATATCCCGCATGAAACTCAAGGAATCTAAACCGTCTGTTAGCATGGGATCGTCGATAATCCGAACCGCTTGACGCTGTATAGAGTCAAGTGGAAGGAGTTGATATTGGGGTTCTCCTGCCCAAAGATGTGAGTAGTCCTTATGTGGACGAATTTGGGTTTTGTAAAGCAGGGATTTACGCTAAGTAGTGAAATATTCTTTTGCCTTTTTCAGACCTCAAGTTTTTTTCGACAAATTATGAAATACTCGTACCTATCAATGAAAATTTCGAAAGTCATTATTTATTTTATATTTCAATAATTTTTTTTTTTTTGCATAATGCGTAGGCCTAAGTCTTAGGCATATTCTTAGCGCATAAGATAATGCATATGCAATATTTCTTATGTAAATTATTTGGCAAATTAATGTATTAGGAATTAATATTCACTTTAAAATGTAATGTTAAAAATTTTAGGCTTTTACTTTTTTTATACAACTTGTTATTAGCAAACAAGCTGACGGCTCACCTGATGGAAAGTGCTAACCTTCGCATATAGACATGAACAATACCTTGGACATAACAGGATATACTGTATCACCTATGATATCCCTCAATGTTGCCATTTCTGAGGACTAAAGTGTTTTGCCTCTGTACTCTATAATTTCATTGTCATATCCCATCCTTCAAATTGAAATACAGCCATGCAAACATAACTGCTTCACACCAGATACTGGTATTTTAATTAGAAAGAATTATATTTACCTGTTAGAAATCCGGCCCGGCTTCGCAGAGACGGATAGGCTTTTAGAAAATAAAATATAACCTATGGTACTTGTTGATAATGTAACTTTCTATCGGTGAAACAATATTTAAAATCGGTTACAGAACTGATCGGTTATTTTATAGCATTTTATATGTAATTCTTTAGATTGATATATTTTTTATTTATATTCGGATTGAAATAAAACAAACATTAAATGTTAAAGGTTTCTTCAGGGTCGGCAACGCGCGTATAATACTCCTACTGGAGGGAAAGGGATTGTTAGTGATGGAGACTGAGAATCCCATTGCTAGCAATATACCCAACCAGGTCGACTTTCTCGTGGTTCCCCCTGGAAACTATCATGGTTAATTCCTGATGAATTCATCATGATGGGCTAACTGGCCTGTTTTCATTCTCATCTATCACCCTTCACTGGTGCTCCGCCGGCGTATTCCGTTAGCGCAAGCGGGGTTACGATTCCATTTTCACCCATCAAAAAATACCCCTAGTATTATAGGCGTTCATAGGCTACGTTAACCGCTTACCATCAGACGGGCCGTATGCTTGTTTACCATCTCAATGTTATAAAAACACTAAATGTTAAGTGAAGCAAACCGCAACGCATTAGTGATTTCTGCATTCATATCGGTAAAGCCGTTTCTGAGATTAGCGTGCACAAACGTACAGACAAACAGACAAAAATTCCAAAAATCATTGTTTTGGGTTCTATTGCGTTCATAAAGCCCGTCTACACTAATTTTTCTTATATAACTTCCATGCATAGACAGCGAGCAATTACGAAGTTATTATATGTATTGACTTTACAATATTAATTAGCTAATTTATTAATAAACGCGGGAAATACTAAATGAAACGAATCTATAACAATCTGTTTTTACTATATTTCACTTAAAAATCTATTACAATTTTACATACATATAGGTACATCAATGTGCCTTATTATCTAATAATACTGTTCAATTTGTAAGTAAATACAGGGTACAGATCATGCAGTTAATTTTACATTTTTAGCGCACGATTTCCTTTAGCACAATTCTCTGACATTGGATGTAAACTTACTATAAATAGCTATAAGTACTTAGTACTTTTTCTTTTTATGGATGGTAATGGAGTGGTAACTCCGCCTGCGCTAACGGTATACGCTGGCGGGCACCAGTGTGAGATGATAGGTGAGAATGAAAAGGCAGGCCAGTTAGCCCATCATGATGAATTCATCTGGAATTCAGCACGATGGTTCCCAGTAGAGACCACGTGGAGGTCGACCTGGTTGAGCATATGAACTGGTAATCTAGCAATGGAACTGGTAATCTGCATTACTAACAATCCCATCCCCCAGAACTTAGTACTTAGATAAATACTAAGTAGGTAAGTACTTAGGTAGACCGGCAGCACATCTGCAATGCTTTTGGTGTTGCGAGTAATCATGGGCGGCGGTAGTCACCTACCATCAGGTGAGCCGCATGCTCGTTTGCCCCCTGTGTTGTAAAAAAACCACAGATAACATAATATTATATTAGTAGTACCTACTATCGAAAGAGCCTTTCAAATGTTTCTTTTTTAAGTACTTAGACGGACTTCAGTCTGCTAAGAAAAAAACTGAACCGTATTAAAATTCGTAAATGCATTAGACATCATATTAGTATTATACTATTTGTGTGGTTAAACCTACTTTTTGGAATTTTAACCATATAAATAACGATTATGAATTAATCTTTTGCAATTACTTAGCTACAATTCTGTGTAGTGTAGTGTTGTGGATGATCATGGGCGGCGGTAGTCACTTGCCACCAGGTGAGCCGCATGCTAATTTGCCCCCTGTGTTTTAAGAAAAAGCTACAATTCTGCTCTTTCATCATCATCATCATCATACCAGCCGTTAACTGTCCACTGTTGAATATAAGGCTCCACCAAAAAGGAGGTTTTGACCAGGAGTTGCCACGCTTGGCAGACGGGTTTGCAACCGCAGTTAGGATTTGATGAAGAGAGATGCTGCTACCTATCTCTCGACCATAAGTTCTATAAGTCGCCTCTTACTACACCCACGGGAAAAGATTCTGTGCTAAGGTCAGATTCTGCTCTTTGCAAAAGTTTAATTACTTGAAATAAAAATGGAAATACAATTTTTATAGGTTACCGAAATTGGGTTTAAATTAATTAAAAAAATCTAAATATGAACGGCATAAAAAAATCATTCCAAATATGGCCCCAATATAATATAAGGTCCCCCATCACATGGCACCTCTCATGTGTTACCACTTCTTCAGATTAATGTGAATCTAATTTTTTTTTTACAAAATTTTTAACAATTAAGCTTTCTATTTAAGTTCTGATCAAGCAACTACATATACTGTTACGCACGTACCTACTTACAAATGCTTGATTCTGGCTCATACATCCATATACAAATTGCTTATAACTCGTGTAGGAGTGACTAGATCATCGCAAGACGTGATAAATGTTATCTATCTAACACGTTGACTTAAATATATTTACAAATGAACAACAAACAGTATACTTATAATAATACACTTTGAAACTTTCAAATGCATAATCTCACTTCCCCCGCAGTATTTAGGAATAGCGATCCGGTCCAACTTCGCATAGTTTATTAATTATCTAAAGTAATATATAATCTATATTTTTCACAAATAATGTAGCTTCTGCACGTGAAAGATTATTTTAAATTCGGTTGAGTAGTTTTGGAGATGATCCATTAGAAACAAACAATCTAATACTCGCGGTTTTTACTGGAATCCATCAAAATTGATACAAAATTAATTGTCAATCACATGACAAAATTTGTCTTTACCCGACTATACTTTAAAAGTATTCAAAATTTATTAAGTTATTACGTAATTAATATACTTATGTATAAAAAAAAATTGCACGGAGAAAAGGAAGGAGCCTTTTGAAATGCATATGAATATTCAAAGTGCATTATTTTTACATAACTAAATAATAACTAACATAAGTACTATATTTACAATTATAATATAATATTTTAGTGATTTCTACGATCAGGAGAGTTATGTACCGTCATCTAAGTATTATCAGGTACAATTCAATCAAGTTTCGTATGTCTTGTCGCAGATAGATTTTAATTGTGAGACACGTCTTCTACGGTCTTACTACAAAAATAATATAAACCATTGCCTATCTAAACAGCGTTTAATAAAACTCTAAGTGGTTAAACATTATTTAGTCGGTACAATATACTTATTTATAATAAAATTTATTAGATAAAATACCTTTTATTTTTAGGGACGACAGATTTTCTTTTGTTTTGGTATAAAACGATGTTAGACACCATTTTGTACAACAAAGTCGTCTAATCATGTTTTTAATACCTGTTTATTGTAAGTTTAACTTTTTTGTGGTAAGACCGCTCTATTAATTAGTTTTTAGGCCCTCTCACCTTTTACGTACTTAACTACTTAAGTTCTTGTTCCGTAAGGACACATGTCCTTACGGAACAAGGACACTGTCACAATGATATTTAAATCATCTAAGAAGAAAATATAAAGTAGTTATTTCAATGTGCACAAAATTGGTAAGAAAATAAGAACAATTGAAAAAATAATTAGTATTATAATTTAAGATTGTGTTCCACAAATAAAAAAAACTAATTCAATCAGCAGTTATTTTGGTTTAAAAACTAAACTACCGATACAGTTTTGATAAAATATCAATAATTCTCCATATCGTTTTATAACTAATACATTTACGAGGTAACAAACATAAAAAAAAATATACCCGAATTGGCAACCTCCATTTTGAAGTCAGTTGAAAATCAATGGAAAATAAACCAAAATAGGATAACGTAGTTAGAGGACCTGACATTTGGTATGATTGTATGACATTTATAAAACAAATCTCTTCTGCTATTAAAATTGCAGTCTCTTACCTAAATATGTGGCAGTAACTCCAAGAGCGACTATGAAACCATAATATACTTACGTGTACACACAAAGAATTTAGCGCAAATGTTTTATCAAACAATTTGACAATTGATCATACGTATTGAACACGAATCTGCAGGCTGTTCTTCGATCACGAATCAACAGGCTGTTTTGGAACCGAACCAATTATCACATTAGTGATAGATTTTCAACAATTGTGATCCGGTGAACCTTTTCAGCTGTGCTTTCTACATCGAATCCCAAGAAAAGTCGATATCCCCGAAATATAGAAAGAAACATTTTGTAAAATGCTTCCTGGAGACGTCAACAAGATTCGAAACCAAAAAAGTTCATCGGAACTAGACAGAAATCGTTCTAAAATTATCCATCGAATAAACAATGTGATTACAATTTGCACGGCGACTTTCGACGCAATCGAATTGAGATAAGACTTTCTTTTGCTTGAGTTGTGTTTTATAGAACAGGTGTAACTTGGTCAAAACGTCAATATAATCTAGATAAATTATCACCTAAATAATCACAGGGACGAGAGAGAACGATTGTTATTATTAGGGACCATTAGCCCTATTGCTAGCAATATACTCTGTCAAGTAGACCACCTCGTAGTTCGCCATGGAAACCATCGTAGTTGATTCTTAAATTTGTCACGATGGGCCAGCTGGCCTAAGTTCATCCTCACCTCTATTCACTCACTGGTGCTCCACAAGTGTATACCAAATGCGCAGGCGAGGTTGCCATTCCAAAATCATCCATTCAAAAAATGATGGCGGTGGGGAGGAAGGGAGCGGTAGTTGTGAGGACTATAAATTCCATTGCTAGCAATAAGTATATCTTATCAGATCGACCTTCACTCGACCCACTTGGCAATCATTATGGTTAATTTCCTGGTCATCACGATGTACCAGCCTGCCAGAGTATACTGATAGAACAGGTATGGAAACCATTCCATTTTTAATCATTTAAAAATTATCGCGTTAATCACATTCTCTTATGAACGTCATCGTATAAACGTCAAATTGAGGGTAAGTTAACGTCCCTTACACGTCTATTCCATGTGATTTTAATTTAATCCCGAATCGACTGCGTCAAATTCAATCCGTTGATAACAAAGTCCAGCCTCACTCAATACACTTATAACACAAGTAATCTGTTACACATTACTCGCAAATACATTAGTTCTTAATACAACTAGGTACAGTAAAAGCTCTTTATTCGCGGGGTATACATTCTGTAAATACAGTACAGTAACCGTGAATATAGACAGCCGAAGCATTTATACAATGGCGTTAGCATTTGACAACATACTTTAGGCGTAGCTGTAATAAAGTCTGTTTTACTTTTTTATTTATTCCATTTGCCGACGCGTTTACAAAGGATACATAATCCTTTTTAATAATATGTACCGATTAGATCCACGAATATAGAAATCTTTAGCCGCGAATATAGGAATTGGGTCGCAATTTTTTTATCCGCGAATAGTGAAAACACGAATAAAGGAAGCGTGAATAAGAAGCTTTTACTGTACCTATAATGACAGTAGCACTAAGTTGACTGTAGAAAAGTGAAAATTGTTTTTGTACAAGTATAAACTGAACCGTCACTTGGTATATGTACCTATAGGTTTACATCTTAGATCATATAAATAGAGTGTCTCCATACAAATGCTTCGAGAAAAACGGTTCAACTTTTTCATACAATTTTGCTTGATAAATAGATATGAGTGTTTCCTTTAAAATTACTATGTATATTGATTTTGTTTTATAATTTTTGCATCATGAAAAAACTCATTTTATTTATTAAATAATTAAATATAGACACGTCAAGATACATTATGTGCGTAAATATATAGAACATTCGTAAAGAAACGAGTAAGCTAATTAGTTGACATAAAGTTGACACGTTTTTAAGACTCGATGCTCTATTGCTCTATCTATATATTCTAAGGTTTACATGCAGAGCGCGTGTAGGCTGCAACCCTGCAAATGTCAGCCAAGCATACCGCCTGACATATTGCCGTGAACGCGCATGTGCCGGTTCAGATTGCCGGACTGCGAAAACCTGGTAATGAAAACAAATATTGAAATGGTCTATCTAACTCACGTTAGGTTTTCTTTTTTACCACAAAGGTGGCAAGAAAGCATACAGCCTATGGACGCCTGCAATACTAGGTGTATCACGTGCGCGTGTTTTTTATTGATCGGTGAAAATGGAACGGTAACCTCGCCTGCGCTAACGGAATACGCTGGCGGAGCACCAGTGAAGGGTGATAGATGAGAATGAAAACAGACCAGTTAGCCCATCATGATGAATTCATCAGAAATTAACCATGATAGTTTCCATACAAATAAACTATCCAAATGGGAGACTTTGTACAAAAGTCGTTTACTTGGGCACCTCTGTCCTATTTGTGTTTCTACCGTGAAGCAGTTGTGTTTACATGGCTTTGTTTGGTTTGAAGGGTGGGATATGGCAGTGAATTTTACAGGGTACAGAGAAATATCACCTGAGTCTTCAGGAATCGCAACGCATGGGGGGTATCATGGGCGAAACAGTATACTCTGTTATATTCCATTCGTGTCTCATGTCAGTCCCATGGTACTGCTCATGTCTATAGGCGACGGTTACCACTTTCCATCAGGTGGGTCGTCAGCTTGTTTGCCATTCTAAGTTGTATAAAAAATCTAGACGAAAAATATGTTGGGAAGGACCTATCCGATGATAATACGAGTAGATTTATTTGTGAGGCTCTGATTATCATCTGTCAAGCAACTGCTCATGATGATAAATCGAATGCTGGACTCTGACATAATACACACAAAAGCTTACCTTAATAAACAGAGCTTACACTGATACGGCTTTTCCCCAGAATGTATCCTCAGGTGTTTGGTCAACGTCGAACTGTCCGAGAAAGCTTTTTTGCACGATCTGCATCTGTTCAACAATTTTGTACTATCATCTATTAAATAGACAAGTGGCTTATTTTTTTATAAGAAAAGGGAAGATCAAGAAATAATTATATGGGTCCAATAAAAGAGAAAACTAAGTCATGTCGTATAGGGAAGTCAATAAATAGGGTCAATTAGATTCAATTGGAGTTGGCTTTATTTCAGATAATATTAGATAAGAGAAAGAATAATAAGTTATAAGATTGGGTTCCACAAAATAAAACCGACTTCATGTATAATAAAACCAGTCATTTGATTTAAAAAGTAATCTACTGAACCGATTTTGATAAAATTTCTCTGGGACCAATCTGCAAGTATATGAAAAATTTTCCAATACCAGTAGAGATAAGTAACAAACATAAAAAAAATATAACCCAATTGGAAACCTCTTTCTTTTTGAAGACAGTTTGAAAAAATACAGTCCAAATGAGTTTTGAAAAGAACAAAATTTGAAAAAAAAAATAACTTAAGTAGATATATTGACTGAAATCTAATCATCACACAAACACACAGTAAATTAAGTGAAGCTTAACTGTCTTTTACTCACAAGCATTTTTCGTGATTACCTATATGTATGTAAATATCAAATCAAAGCAATGAACACATACTGGTATGGCCTTTCTCCAGAATGTGTTCTCATGTGAGTAGTTACGCTGGAGCTCTGGCTGAAGCGCCGGTCGCATATGGGGCATCTGTTCAAAAGAAAATTAAAAATTAAAAATAAAAAAAAAAAAAAATATTATATATAATGCTTTTTTTTTGTTTTGTTGCTTTTTTATTTTCATTCTTTTATCTCTTTTACTGTTTATTATATGTAGTTTTTTTTTTAATTATAATTTGTGTGCTGTAAGTAATGTAAATAAATTATCTATCTATCTATCTATATTGTATTATTTTTTTATATAACACTAAAGTGGCAAACAAGCATACGGCCTACCTGATGATAAGCGGTTACCGTAGTCTATGAGTGCCTGCAATACCAGGGATATACACGCGCGCGTTGCCGACCCTGAAGAAACTTCTTTACACCCCTTTTGAAGAACCCCACGCTGTAGTCTCTTGGGATAACCTCAGCGGAGAGCTCATTCCATAACCTAAGTTTTCGTGGGAGAAAACATCTTTGAAACCGCGTTGTACGCGACCACTTAAGCTGTAATATAAGGGTGAACTCCCTGTCGGTGGCGAGCCATAGGAGAAAGTGGCCGTGGGCATCATATTGAACAATTCCTCTGAGCTCAATTGTATTGACTTACATATTTATTATATTAATATGGTATTATATATAATTATTTATATATGTATTGTATTATATGCGATTTATGTATGTATAATTTTTGAAAGTGTATTATTCTATTATATGTTTGTTAATTTATTTTAATATATATTAATGTTGTTGTCTCGCAAAATATTTATTTAATTTATAAATTGTTTTGTTATATCTATGTACCGCCATTTACTCTCTCTCTGTTAAGCGTACCGGTTGACTGATAGAGAATGCCATCAGGCATTAAGTCCTTTAATGTGTACAAAAAAAAAAAAAAATATATATATATATATATATATATATATATATATATATATATATATATATATATAAAATATTAAAATATCACCGCGGTCCACCCGATGGACAGATACTAAAGTATTACAGTAAAAAAAAAAACAAACGTACCGAAAAGGTTTTTGACCCGTATGTGTCCTCACATGAGCAGTCAGATTTGCGGCTTGGGAGAAACTTTTGTTGCAGTCTCCACATCTATAGGGCCGCTCGCCGGAGTGAGTCCGAAGGTGGGTCTTCAGTGTGCTGGGACGGGCGTACGTCTTACCACAAATGCGGCACAGGTTTGGCTTCTGCTCGTCATCTTCTGAACATCCACTTAGAGCTCCTATCTGTTAGTTATGTGGAATTGAATACTTGAATGAAATCGTATTAGCAATAATACTTGGGGTGGAAGGAATTATTACTAGTTTTTTTTTAATGAGTGATAATGTAATGGTAACCTTGCCCGCGCTATCGGTATACACCGACGGGGCACCAGTGAGGGATGATGAGTGAAAATGAAAGAGCAGGCCAGTTAGCCCTTCGTGATAAATACACCTGACATTCAACACGATGGTTTCCAGGGGGGACCACGTGGAGGTCGACCTGGCGACCGCATAACTAATAATCCCTTCCCCCTGTTAGTAATTAGTAGTAGTTATATACCCAGTCAGGTTAACATGGTCCCCTTTGGAAATGATCGTGCTGGATTCCAGGTGTATTCACCGCGATGGATTTTCATTCTCGCCTATCATCCCTCACTGGTGCCGCGCCAGGGTACACCGTTAGCGCAGGCAAAACTACCGTTACATTATCAACCATTAAAAAAATAATACATACATACTATACAAGTACATTAATTAGACTAGCTGTTCTTAAAATAGATGTGTAATTTAGAAATTCACGAATAAAGGATATTTTTTATGAATTTATCTATCCAAATAAAAGCTCGTTCATTTCGTAATTCGAATTTGTAGTCAAGTAGTTACTTGTAGATGTAGTTTGTACTCCCAAGAGTACTCGTAAGCGATTTCAAATTGCAATATATTTTATTTAGTCTATGGTTTCATAAATTATATGATTTCTTAAATATTCGTTTGGTCTTCTTAGTATTTATTATGGGTCTAGGTTTGACCTGAAAATTTAGGAATAACTTATATATTAGAATAGATTATTATTTGAAAAGTTGCCATGCTGAGTACTTATATTTATATACTTATATTGTTGATGGCCAGTATTTATTTTCATCGTTTTTCACTATTAAAATTATAAAATATATTTAAAAAAAAAAGAAATGCTAAGTTTATCTTAGTAAGATGTCATATATGTACTTCGGAGACAATAGATAAGGGGTATGTCAAGATGGACAAGGGAGGACAAAGTTTGCTTCTCACAAACTTTGGTCCTTGCTTATTTTGAAAGAAAAAAAAACAAGATTGTACAATAGTAATAACCCACCTGAACCTTGCCCGATGAACATGTTGTATACCCGTACTCTTGTGGGTGCATCGGCGCTTGATGATTCAGTATCGTGTACCCTCCACCCATGTTCTGGTCCTTCTGAACATCTTGCATATACAGTTTCGATGGGGACCTCTTCACCATCTGACCGGGCGGCTTCTGACACTGATAGTTTTGCTTTTGTTGAAACAGCGCATAATTATTATTTGCTTTCTGTGAGTTCTGAAGTAACGGCTTGAAGGTGGAGGTCGCCGTGATCAGTGGGTCCGATTGGTTAGGAGCTCTGAAGTCGGCTGTGAAGGAGTAAGTGGCTGACGGGTATGTGTTGGGGCTGATGACGTTTTGCGTCTGCGGGTAGACAACGTTCACCGATGGGGTTGCGGTGTTTTGGTTCCACTGTACCTGTAAGTGAACTGATGATGTCTGTACATTCTTTATTTAAATAGACTTCGGGATAATCTCATTACTGCTACCTTCGTCATCATCATCATCATATCAGACTTTAACTGTCCACTGCTGAATATAGGCCTCCTCCATAAGGGGGACTTTGTCAGTAGTTGCCAGGCTTGGCAGGTGGCAGGTGGCAATTGTAGTTAGGCTTTAGGGACGCTGCTACCCATATTTCGACCATTAAGTTCCTTAGTCGCCTCTTACGACACCCACGGGAAAGGAAGGGGTGACCCACCCTATACCAGAATCATACGGCTCTGGGAGGAAAGGGATTGTTAGTAATGATAGATAGATAGATAGATAGATACTCTTTATTGTTTCCTCCAAAAGATTACAATAGTAAACTTATTATAAATATAAATAATTACAAGAAATAATCACAATGAGAAAACAATGGGCGACCTTATCGCTAAGAGCGATCTCTTCCAGGCAACCTTTGGATGGAGAGGAGTAATTATAAACAGTTTGGTGGGAGGCACGATGAAAAATTTTGTTAGTTCTAAATATGGGAGATGTGATACATATAATAATATAAATATTATCCCTACTCATTATTATATTTATATACATACACCTACACACACATATACATATATATACATACACATACACATACATACATACACACATACATATATATATACATATACATATATATATACATATACATACATATACACATATATACATACCATATACATACCATACACATACAAATACATATACATACATGGACATAAACGCCTACACAAATACATAAAAATATATAAATACTGTTCACGAAAAGTATGCAAGTAATAAGTATGCTAACCAGACATATAAACACATTAAGAAAATGACAACTTGCTCAAATAATAGTTCTTCAGTTTTGCCTTAAAACCAGCCGTACATTTTATATTTCGTAAGGAAACTGGTAAAGCATTCCAAAGCCGTACAGCTTGCACCGTAAATGATTTGTCATAAAAATTAGAGAAATGTACCGGAATCTTCAGCTGAAGGCTCTCAGAAGACCTAAGATTAAAAGAATTGACGGTATGCAAGAATTCAATGGATGGATAATGGAGACTGAGAATCCCTTTGCTAGCAATATACCCAACCAGGTCGACCTCCTCGCGGTTCCCCCTGGAAACTATCATGGTTAATTCCTGATGAATTCATCATGATGGACTAACTGGCCTGTTTTCATTCTCATTTATCACCCCTCACTCCGCCAGCGTACCTCGTTAGTGCAGGCGACCGTTTATGTTAAATTTATGTTGCATATTTTGACATTCACAAAGAGAATCAAAACCTATACTTCCTGTTTACCTAGAATCATGAAATTCGGTAATAAGCAAAGTCATGTAGCAGAAGTAAAGGAAAAAATCCGAAAACCGTAAATTTGTAATTATTTAAAAAAAATTAAACTTGATGATTTTGTACGGAACCCTCGTTGTGCGAATCCGACTCGCACTTGACCGGCTTATTTTTAATATGATTCATAGCTCTTTTCCTGAGGAAGATTATGGCATAATACGAGTACGAGCGAAGTCATAAGACAATATTTTACCAGATCCAGATGGGATCGATATTACAGTGTAAATCTAGTCTTTGTTGTTTCAGAGGAACAAAGATTTCCTATGAGTTTTAACTATTTTTTTTATACCACTGAGGTAGCAAATAAGCATACGGCCCACCTGATGGTAAGCAATTACCGTAGCCTAAGAACGAATCCAATATCATTTTATTGCATTAAACGCGCATTGCCGACGCCAAAAACATTTTTACTCCATTTTTAACCCCATGCTGTAGACTCTTGGGAAAATCTCGACAGGGATTTTTTTTGCCTCTTAACAATACTACCATAGATGTTACAGGACCCGTGTATATTTTGTCTTACCTGTGAACACAGTTGATCCGGTGGGCATCCATGCATGGTCATGTTCATGGAAACGTTGACACTCATTGTGGGGAAGATGGGAGTCCCGCTGTAGTGCTCATAGTACGGGTATCCGCTGCCGGTGTTCACCATCATCTGACGTCATCATCAGTCGGTGAAAATTAATATCTTCGAATCAGCATACAGGGATATTTATTTTTAGCGTAGTTTTATTTTTACAAAATGGTAAATTTTAAAAACTATACTTTTTAATTATTACCCACTACTATGCCCTCGAGACTGTGATATTTTTTTTATACTACTAAGATGACAATCAAGTATACAGCTCGTCTGATGGCAAACGGTCACTGTTTGCTTATGGAAGCCTGCAACACTAGAGGTGTCACAGGCGTGTTTAATTGACCCATTAAGGTGCCAAAAAGTAACAAATAAACTTACTTTTATAATCATAACTGTATCCCGCGGCTTTGACCAGGTGAATAAGTAGGTTTTTTTTATACAACTTAGAATGGCAAACAAGCTGACGGTCCACCTGATGGAAAGTGGTAACCGTCACATATAGACACGAGCAGTACTATGGACATAACAGAGTATACTGTTTCGCCCATGATACCCCCCATGCGTTGCCATTCCTGAGGACTCAGGTGTTAACTCCGCCAAATGTAAATAGAACATTACTATGCATTAAAGTTTAAATGAATAAATAAAGTTATCTATGTGTTAAACTAGGATGTAACTTATCCATGTACCAAACATTCAAATCCGTTTAGTAGATTTTGCGTGAAAAAAATAACAAATATTCATCCATTTAAACATCGTCATAAACTATTGTATGCACTTATAATTACATTATAGAATTATTAAATATTTCCATTCAACAAATCCATCTTATCGTATTTAATAAACGTTTATCTATTATAATTTCAATAATTTTAATTTATTTTTTACTTTAGTAACTTGATCATTAATATTTTTAACTTATAATCAATTTATGTTTCTACCACAAATAAGATACAAGAATATATAAATCCTAAAGCTATAATCAAACCCTTATGCGAATGCCTGAAAGAAAAAAGTAGGTACATTTTTTATATTTGTACAATAGCAAACAAGCTGTCGGCCCACCTGATGGAAAGTGGCAACCGTCGCCTATAGACATGAGCAGTACCATGGACATAACAGAGTATACTGTTTCGCCCATGATACCCCCATGCGTTGCCATTCCTGAGGACTCAGATGTTTTTTTTTATTTTTTTTTCTAGTGGGTGATAATGAAATGATAACCCTACCCGCGCTATCGGTTTACACCGGCAGGGCACCAGTGAAGGATGATAGGTGAAGATGAAGCAGGTCAGTTAGCCCATCGTGACGAATTCAACAAGAATTGTTCACGATGGTTTCCACCACGTGGAGGTCGACCTAATAGGGTATATTGCTAGCAATGGGATTGTCAAACTCCATTGCTAACAATCCCTTTCCCCCCGGACTCAGATGTTATTCCTCTGTACCCAGTAAATTCACGCCATATTTCACCCTTTAAATCATATGACCTATAATATAATATTATAATACGAGTATATATAATATTCTATGTTTGTAAAGAATGAAAAATCAAATTATCTCCGCTAATAAGACTAAGCACACATAAAAAAAAAATCTCTGCGAATTTTGTTCTCTTTACAATTAATTTTCTCGATGGGTTGTACCATGACACAAAAATTTTAATCGAATTACAAAGCATAATGGTCTCAAAATATATTTGCATGAAGGTTTATTTTAGCGACCTGCTACCTATTTGCTAATGCTTTTCAATTTAATTCGATGATACAGATCTACGATGGAATATACTATATATATATACTAAATACTTTTTAATGGTTCTTCCAAAAATAATAATAAAAAGAAATACAAGAAATAAATCACATAGAGAAAAAAGATACAATGGCCGACCTTATCACACACATTATTTTAATGTAACAGGGTTGACACAGAAATTATGTAAGTTAACATAAACATTTGAAGAGGTAACTTTGTTTAAACACCATTACAAATCCCTATACGAGACCCAACATAATATTCCGTGCAATATGGAAGCCTTATTATATCTCAATACTATATTAATTACAATCATTTAGTTCAGTAACTACGCCCTCGGATTTTCCCTACCTATTTCCTATTCAATTTTCCCCTTTGAAACACCCCTTCGATTAGACAGGGATGGCTGTATTAGGTTTAAGGATGTTGAACAAAGATAGGTATTGTAATGGCTGTCTCTTTTTTGCTCTTGGCCGTTGTAGGGGAGTGAAAGTGATGTCTAACCTGAGGGTGGACCGTCTCAGCGCAGTCGCCATGGACGACGGCATGCTTGAGAGAAAGGAGGACGTCCGCCGCCTCCCCCCCGCCCCTCTCCCGGCAGTCGGCCGTGTTGTTCCTGCTGAGATTGACCGGGATTTAATTTGGCGATGCTTTGTTTGGATTTTATTTTTAGCCAACATCAAAAGCAGGTTCTCAATTTAATTGCAAAGAACATAAATCGTTCGTCGACAATGAATTCATTTTTAACATTTGTTTATATTTACGTGAATTTATTATATATATAAATTTAAAGTTTCTGTCACAAACATTGCTCACCTGTTAGTTTTAAAATACCTAATAAATGTTATCATAAGACCCATGAACAGAGGGTGTCAATTAATTGTTAATTTGTAATCATTTCTTATAAGTGTTAATTGGGGGAAATAGGATTGACAGTAATGAGCGTCATTGCTAGCAATATACCCTCTCAGGTCGACCTCCACGCGGTTCTCCCTAGAAATCATCGTGCTTAATTCCTGTTGAATTTGTTATTATAGGCCAAATGACTTGCTTTCTTCATCTATCATCCCTCACTGGTGTCCCACCAGCATGTACCGATAGTGCAGGCGGGGTTACCATTACATTCTTACCCATTTATAAAAAACTACTATTTTATCGACCTGAACAGTGTAAATTGCTAGCAATAGGATTGTCAAACCCCCTTACTAAGAATTCTTTTCCCCCCGATATAATAGTAGTAAGTATTGTTTGCTCGAACATAAGAGATACGATAGTTTTTATCCAATTTGAAAAAATAGTCTTTAGGGTTGCATAATGCCGCTGGTATTGCAGATGGACATAGGTTACAGTAATCGCTTACCATCAGATGGGCCGTATGCTTGTTAGCCACTTCAATGGTGTTGACGGTAAGGGACAAAATAACATTTGCCGTGTCAGCTTGTAGCAACATAATTGCATTATATTAAATAATAAAATAAAATTTTAGCTAAACGATGTCTGTACATGAAAGGCATTTAAGAAAAAATTGTATGAGGAATCTTTATAAGATTAATAGATACAAAAACAATATTTTTTAACCTATCACTATGAAATTTTGTATATACATACTGATCATCTTGTTGATGTACCTCGCCATTGCATTATATTTATTTATAATTTAAAATAATTTAAATACAATTTCCATTATTTATATTATGTTATTATTCATATTGTTAATATTTTTACTTGTATAATGACATTTAATAATTTAATTCCATTTTAATGTTTGTCGAACACAAGGCACGCTGTGGTCGCCTATAAATGTAAGAACAGTAAGATCTAATCTACCAGTGTATTGTACTAAAATGTTATAAATAGAATATAAAATAGCTGTATCTTATGTTGGTAATCCTATAAATAAATAAATCTTCTTACCCTTATCCTAATTATTATTTCGGGTCGGCGTACCTAATATGTTTTTATCCATATTACAAAAAGATTTGGCTTATATTTTTACGACCGGCTACCTGCCTATACCCAACTAGGTCTACTTCCTCGTGGTTCCCCCTGGAAACTATCATGTTTAATTCCTGATGAATTCATCATGATGGGCTAACTGGCCTGTTCTCATTTTCGTCTATCACCCTTTACTGGTGCCCCGCCAGCGTATCCCGTTAGCGCAGGCGGGGTTAAAAGTAATGTCTCTCAATACCATTAGAGATTATGGTCGTGAGTATATTCCTTTTTGTCTTTTTCGAGTGGTATAAAAATAGAAAATGGTCAAGAGAATCTTTGAGATGTATTAAATAGGGTTCCGTGGTGATATAAGATTTTAACTCGAGCGCTAACTTTACGTTTTATTAGAATAGACATCAACGGCACCTATGTAGGTAGGTACTACGAGTAGGTATTTAATTGAGGAGTTTTTTTTATTTATGGATGATAATGGAGTGGTAACCCCGCCTGCGCTATTGGTATACATTGGCGGGGCACCAGGGAGGGATGATTGGTGAAGGTGAAAAGGCAGGTCAGTTAGCCTATCGTGACGAATTCAACGATTAGTCACGATGGTTTCCAGGGGGAACCACGTGGGGGTCGACCTGATAAGGTATAATGATAGCAATGGGGACTAATCTTCCCCTTACTAACAATCCCTTCCCTTCCCCCCCTTTAATTGAGGAGTTGAGGTTTTGTTTTTTATCCAAGCATAATTGGGACTAGAATATATTTTATGTTTTTTTTTTTAACTTGAATAGCATATGTGACATAACAGATAAGTGATCTAAATATGAATCAATGATTTTAATTTCTTGAAACAAGCTGACGACCCACTTGATGGAAAGTGAATGAATGAATGAATGAATGCCCTTCATTTTTATTATACCTACAATATAGACCTATGAATTGTTCACCATTCTAAGTTACATAAAAAATAAATGAAAAGGAAGTAAATCAAGACAATTAATAAAAGAAATGATACAATTTTATAAATGGTAATCGTCATTTATAAATGCCCGTTCATTCATCAATATGGTATTTTTTTTAATGGGTGATAATGGAATGGTAACCCCACCCGCGCTATCGGTATACACCGGCGGGGCACCAGTGAAGGATGATAGGTGAGAATGAAGTAGGTCAGTTAGCCCATCATGACGAATTCAACAAGAATTGTTCACGATAGTTTCCAGGAGGAACCACGTGGAGGTCGACCTGAGAGGGTATATTGCTAGTAATGAGGCTATTTGACCCCACTACTAGCAATCCCTTGCCCCTCCATCAATATGGTTAGGTGAACACACGACTAAGAATGTAAAGAGACATAAAAATAAAAAATAAAATACACAAATTTAAAAAAAAAACAATAAAATCCGTTTCTCACACTATATAATTAAGATTTTATAAAATTAATACCAACTTCAATAATGACTATGATATATATAATATGGGATTAAATATTTACAATTAATAAAAGAATTATCAAAATTAGTTCGGAATTGATGAAGGTATCATATAAAATATGCACAAAATTGGTAATATATTAAAATAATAATAAATAATAAACTTGTATATTCAGTCGATTGAACTTCGGGACACCCAAGCTCAATCGATTGAATAGTATCCTTGATTGAAACTAGCTCAGTTGACCACCGAAAAAGTCGAAAAGAATTATTAAAAATCAGTTTAGAGATGCTTTAAAAAAATGAATCGTGTAATAAAGAAATTAAAAAAGAAAATATGATTGAATTGCACCTCCTTTTCTTATGTCGCTTAAAAACATTACTAAAAATCAGTTTAAAATCAGCAAAAGTACATGTATCTTGTTCAATTGTAATAAAAATATTAAAAAATAACATATTCGAATTAAATGTAGATATTACGAATAGGTCTTGTTTCGATGACTTCAAGCAATAGCGCTCTTCTCTATCTGTGTGTAATTTAACAAATTTTCGAAACAAATTCTATTATGTCTAATATTCTTTTTTTAAATTACTACTTTTTTTCTTTTTAAAGATTTACAAAAACTATATCTAAAGAAAAAAAAAGCTTAATGTATTGTAAAGTGGAAGGCTAGAGACGAATGAAATACCTACATAAATTATATTCTAATGTCAAAAAATATTATGAATAATATAATATTAAAAAAAATTAAAGATATAGACCACTTCTAGATGACGTATCAAAATAAAACCAAAAAACATACATCAGATCTCAATTTCAGACAAATACGACAAAATTTTTAAAAATTAATTATTTTGGCATCTATTGGTCCTATACTCTTCATCATATTTTTTTAAACACTTTCCATGTACAGACAGCGTCTAGTTCTAATTAATAATAAAGTAATATCTATATAATATGATTATCTGTTTATCTGTATGTTTGATCTGATATGACGTAAAAACTACTGCACCAAATTCAATGTGATTTCCACAGTTACATTTCTGAAGGTCTAACTTAAAAACTGGTGTATGTTTTACATTAATATCTCATTTAGAAATGAGATAATAAACTGAAATATACACGACATATAATTAAAAATACACTATAATCTTAAATTATATAGATAGATCATCGAGCCTCAAAAACAGGTCAACTTTTTGTCAGCTAATTGTCAAATTAGCTGGCTCATTTTTATATCAATGTTCTATATACTTACACATAAAATATATCTTGACATATTATTTAATGACTAAAATGAGTTTTTACGCATAAAAAAGATGCAGTATTTATAAGACAAAATCAATATAGAAGATATAAAGGAATCACTCATAACTTTCTATCACGCAAAATTGTATTAGAAAGTTGATCCGTTTTTCTCAAAGCATTTCCATAGAGACTCTATCTACATAATCAATGACTACAATTTACTATACACAATTCCACTATGTTATTTTTCCTGAAGACAGCTAAAACACTTACTTGTAACCGGAACACGGTGAGAAGGGAAACAGTGAAGGCAGGGGGTCGAGCTCGAGCGGGGGCAGTGAGAAGGAGCCCATATCGTCAGCGGGCCAGCCGGCCTCCGCGCTCACATCTCCACCGTCGCCAAGGTTCACGTCGCACGGAGCGATCGGGTCGCTCAGTGCGTTCAGTTCTTCCCCATTGTCTGGACAGCAGTTTTCGTTTTCTTGCTGCAATGCGTAGAACGTTTTAGCATTTCGAATTTATATATGGGAAATAAATTAAAGGATCATCATCATTAAGGTCATTTCAGCTGTTAACTGCTCATTGTGGAATATATGCCTCCCCGTAAAAGGGAGGAGTGGGGGGTCAGTAGTTGTTCACGCTTATCAGGCAGGTTTTTTTTGATGGGTGAAAATGGTATGGTAACTCCGCCTGCGCTAACGGGATATGCTGGCGGAGCACCAATGAAGGGTGATAGTTGAGAATGAAAACAGGCCAGTTAGCCCATCATGATGAATTCATCAGGAATTAACCATGATAGTTTACAGGGACACAAGGGACAAACATCGCTGTTGATTTCACCTTCAGTTTCCACCCTTTAAAAGCTGTAATTTTTTAGACAAATCAATGACGTATAACTAATAAATAGACCAAACCTCGTGTAAATTTTTGACGATGGAAGTGGTCGTTTTTATTTCAGATACGAAGGAAGAAACTGATTGTATCAAAGAAAACTCCAAATTAGAGCTAATTATGTATTGTACAACACAATACAGCCTGTTTTTTGCATAACTAGTATGCCTTTCATATGAATATCCTATAGTAGTAGGTGGTTATTTTCTATATAAATAGGTCCGATTTATCTTTCATACATACACGATTCCTTTTTCTACATCAATTTTTTTTTTATCTAATGTGTTTATTAATAATCCCAGTCAGTTTAGGGGGAAAGGGATTGTTAGTGATGGAGACTGAGAATCCCATTACAATATACCCAACCAGGTCGACCTCTACGCGGTTCCCCCTGGAAACTATCACGGTTAATTCCTGATGAATTCATCATGATGGGCTAACTGGTCCTGTTTTCATTCTCATCTATCACCCTTCACTGGTACTCCGCGTATCCCGTTAGCGCAGGCGGGGTTACCATACCATTTTCACCCATCAAGAAAAAAAATCCCAGTCAGTTAATTTTTTTTTTTTTATAGTATAATAACTTTATTGTAGCTAAAAGTCGGGTACACAATTTCTTATACAGTGATTACTACACTAGGCTCGCAGGCCTGTATCGTAGTAGTCAGTGAGTGGCTAATTTTGTTCATATTTATTGCCATTTACAGTCCGGTTCCTGTACAATTTTATCATTTAGGTATTCGAAATTAATACATAACGTCAATCTAATAATTTATGTATTAATCAAAATTATTTGTGGCTACTTTTCAAATGCAAATTCAAATAATCTTTATTCATTTAGAAGCACTTTTAAATCGTCACCTTTTGAGTATGCAATATAACCTTCACTTTTTTCTCTTGTGTTTTTCGTAAATGTATGATGTCCTGGTATTATGTCGGTTTACTAATTTCATAAGAAAAATCAATTAAAACATAAATTACAGATTCAACTTTGGTTTAAAAAAAATTTATAATTAATAATTTTTTCAAACTATCAGCTGTCACACGCATTAAACTAAAGAAGAAGGTAATGTGATCAAAGACTTACCTGGCAGCACTCTTCGTCCTGGAGCTCCCGCAACTGGAGGCACGGCTGCAGCGGGTCGCAGCAGAGCCCGTGGCAGCCCTGGCAGCAGTCGGCCAGCCCGAACTGCGGGTTGTTTGGCACGTAGCAGTCCATGGCCCCGCCTCCCGTCACCGCGCATGATCACAGCCCGCCGACCATCTCAGTTCAGTTTCCGGCGCTTGTAATTACGCGCCCGCATGTTTAGGTACCTGTGTATTATATACATATAGTTTATTTCAATAGAATTTAATGAGAATGTAAACAAAAGAATAATTAATCCGACCATAGAATATTCTGCTTATGAATATTAGTACACCATCAGAATGTCTGGTACAGAATGCCATCAGGCATTAAGTCCGCCTGTATACATATTTTATTGTATGCAAAAGTATAAATAAATAAATGACTTGTGATCTGATCAGCTATTCGTACAAATAAAAAATCGATTAATTGATTGAATATTCGATTTATTATTAATTTCATTTGGAGTATTTTTGTGATAATTTCATCAAGACTTGATTACTATTTTCTTAAGTTCGTTATAAAACATATGTGTGACGATATATGTGTGAGGAATTGAGATTCACTTTTTTAGATGTAGGATAATGATTTATTTAAATAGAAACGTTATATTAGTGGTCAAAGTAAAATCAAGAATAGAAAGAAATAAACACTGTTTTGTTTTTAAAATTTTCGACTTTTTGATGAATAAAGATCTTCAGAATTAAATTTCGAATAGAGATTGGATCCTTGACGCTATCAATGTGGTAGAATCCAGATTCAAGAATCACAGCATTACAGAATTACAGCATCACTAATAATGAAAATTTATTCGTGCGTTTTTCAAGGCACTTTCTTCCACGCACAACCACTCTTTGGAATTAACTTCCAGCAGCAATATTTCCGAACCGATACGACATTATAACCTTCAAGAAAAGAGCATATTCCTTGGCATATTCTTTTATATGCCTTTAAAACGTCGGCAGCACACCTGCAATGCCATTGGTGTTGTGGGTGATCATGGACGGTGGTAGTCGCTTACTATCAGGTGAGCCGCATGCTCGTTTGCCCCCGTGTTGTAAAAAAAATATATGATTATGAAATTTCATAATATTGTATTGTATCAATAATTTTCATAAACATTCCCGTTGTACATTCGATGAAGCTGTAAAGATGGTCTATAGTCTGCAGTCAATAGCAGTAAAGTAAAAGAAAAATACCTATTGTACCTAATTTTTTTTTATACAACTTAGAATGGCAAACAAGCTGACGGTCCACCTGATAATCCTTTATAGCTCGTAATTTTTACAAAATATAAAAAAAAATTTCATTATTGTTTGATTGGACTTTGAAATCGATTATCCGGATTTTCGATTATACGGAATTCTCGTGGTTTTATTTAACTGGGATATTGGATATTCTACTGTAATGATATTTATATAGGTGTGTAGCGTTTGATATCCGTATGTTTTCTATTAGAAAAGTATCTGAATGGATCGCAAATTTTCTTAAATAAGTCACAATCAATTATTATTAGAATTCCACAGTCTAATTGCACAAACGATATACATTTTGTCATGAAAGTGAAATTGTATAAATGAAAAGAGTATGTTACACAAAAAATTCGACTTCAACTGTGACAAAACCAGTTATTTTGATTTGAAAACTAAACTAATGAATCGAGTATGATAAAATTTCTATGCGACCAATCTGGAAGTATCTACATCCTTCCAGATAAAAAAGGATTTTCTATATCGATTTATAACTGATGGAATTATGAAGTAATGAATATAAAAAAAATATAAAAGAATTGGGAAGTTCCTTTTTTTTGAATTCGGTCGAAATTATACTTGAATGAAATCTGATATTCAGGGCCTCAGAAAATTGTCAGATCACGAAAGCATAAGATCATAGTCCTCGACAATGGTAACATATGAATAGGGGTGGGTAATATATATATATATATATATATATATATATATATATATATATATATATATATATATATATATATATATATATATAGTATATTCCATCGTAGATCTGTATCATCGAAGTTAACTGAAAAGCATTAGCAAATAGGTAGCAGGTTGCTAAAATAAACCTTCATGCAAATATATTTTGAGACCCTTATGCTTTGTAATTCGATTCTAATTTCTGTGTCATTGGGGGGTACAACCCATCGAGAAAATTAATTGTAAAGAGAAGAAAATTCGCAGAGATTTTTTTTTTATGTGTGCTTAGTCTTATTAGCGGAGATAATTTGATTTTTCATTCTTTACAAACATAGAATATTATACGAGGTTTGTCCGGAAAGTACGTATAAAAGTTTTTTAAAAATTTTATTTTACAATTATTCAGGTAAATCAATTTTATCCCCTTCAAAGTACTCCCCCTGTGACATAATGCACTTGTGCCAACGCCGTTTCCACTGTGAGAAGGCTCCTTGAAAGTCCTCTGGTTGTAGGTTTCTCAGCTGCCCCGTCGTAGCTTTTTTTATCTCATTTATGTCCCCCAAATGCCGCCCCCGAAGTACCAATTTGGTTTTTGGGAACAAGAAGAAGTCACACGGGGCCAAATCCGGCGAATAGGGGGGTGTTCGGTCACCGTAATGGAATTTTTACTCAAAAACTCACGGACAACAAGAGAGGTGTGGGCAGGGGCATTGTCGTGGTGAAGAATCCAACGCCCCTCTCGCGCCAATTCTGGACGAACTCGTGCCACACGAGCTTTGAGGCGTCTGAGCACATCGACGTAGAATTTTCCATCAACTGTCTGGCCTGGAGGGACGAATTCTTGATGGACAATCCCCCGAACATCGAAAAAAACAATCAACATTGTCTTGACATTTGAGCGGGATTTTCTTGATTTTTTTGTTCGTGGTTCCCCGGATGTCTTCCACTCTTTGCTTTGGGATTTTACTGTTCTGAGATCGGCAAAAATTTCACGGCCATTCTTGCCGAGTTTCGAGAGAAACTTGATTACGACGCGCTGCTCTTCAACGGAAGCGGGCTCCATGCCGACGGGGTTTCGTTAAGAGGTAACTTCACAGATGGCGTGACAAGCCAGTTCGCACCGCACGGCGGTCAGACCAGAACTGAAGCATTGTTAGGGACATAAGGAAGGGGTCCTGCGCTTACCTGGCCTCCCCACTCCTCTTTCTCGCATTCCAGAACACTTTTATACGAACTTTCCGGACAGACCTCGTATATACTCGTATTATAATATTATATTATAGGTCATATGATTTAAAGGGTGAAATATGGCGTGAATTTACTGGGTACAGAGGAATAACATCTGTGTCCGGGGGGAAAGGGATTGTTAGCAATGGAAACCAGAATCTTATTTGCGCAAAGCAACGTGCTTATCACTGTACCACAATGGTCAGCTTTTGTAAGAATTAATTATTATATATTTTGTAAGAATTAATTATTATATTATTGTATAAGAAAAACTGCTCTAAATATTTTTCATTTATTTCAAAGCAATCCATATACTTATTTATTAAGTGTTCTAAAAAATAATAAAAAACCTATCTGATTTATATTTATTTAACAATAACACACTAGTAATATTATAAATGTTAAAGTGAGTTTATTTGTTACCTTATAGCGCCTTAACGGATTAACCAATCACTATGAAATTTGGTTTACACGTACTATATGGGATGGAGAAGAATTACTTTTTATCTCGGTAAATTATTTATATACCAGACACACGGACGAAGTCGCGGGTAAAAGCTTGCAATATAATAATAATTATATGCAACTAAACAATAGGTATCTATTATATTATACAAAAAATATAATAAGTCGCTAGTTATTTGGATAGCTGGATCTATCTACATAAAAGTAAGTAGAGGTCTAAATTTTCTATCAATAATAATTTTAAAAATAAACATTGTACTGTAACATGATAACGTTGACATTAAGTACGTAGTTACTACATATACACTGTCCTAGCTGTCACTGTGTAATTAAATTATTGAGAATAAATATTACGCGTATTACTGAACTATTAAAAAAAAACTAATATTATCTTACCAACTTTTTAGTGAACAATCCAAATTGGCATCCAAACAAACTACTGGATTCAATAAAATACTTTATACACATCACAAAAATCACTGTCCAACAAAACACCGATGTCCACTAATTAAATTACAGGTTACAGTATAGACATGCGCCATGGCAGTGCCTACGATTAAAAAATTAACACATCATTACGTTGAAGAGCCCTTCCACACCGGTGTTGGCTACTAAACTATCACTCAAGTGCACTCTCCCGCCCCTACGTAATTGGCTGTTTGTATCCAACCCCCTCGCCTAAAAAAAAACATGACATTATTGCGCGGGAAAGTAGCTGTCACCTAATATCGAGTAGCCATGCGGGGCTTTGTTTTTGCGGTCAACCGTTTATTGCCATCCGATACTATTTAGATAAGTAATGTGGTGATTAATTGATAATTCTTATTACCATCACAGAGATCTGATTTATTGCATATTTATGTACATTTTTTATAACATATTATAATCATGTGAATTAACATTACATAAACGTATCACTCCTTAGCCTGTAGGACTGCAAAAGATGTGAATTCCTAGAGTGATACAGTATATTCAGTGATATATTTTTTTATACACCTTAGAATGGCAAACAAGCTGACGGCTCACCTGATGGAAAGTGGTAACCGTCGCCTATAGACATGAGCAGTACCATGGACATAACAGAGTATATTGTTACGCCCATGATACGTTGCCATTCCTGAGGACTCAGATGTTATTCCTCTGTACTCTGTAAATTCACGCCATATCCCACCCTTCAAACCGAAACACAGCCATGCAAACACAACTGCTTCACGGTAGAAACACGAATGGGACAGAGGTACCCAAGCAATCGACTTTTGTACAAAGTCTCCCTCTGGTAAACTTTAAGCGTCAGTGCCAATTTAAGTGTTAGTTACTTACTTTTTCCATCAGGTGTACTGTCAGTTTACTTACTTACTGTTTAAACATTAAAAAAAAAATGTTATAAATTCAGATAACTTACTAATAAATAATACTGACACATTTAACTACTTTTGAACTAACTTTTGTATCTAAAAATGTACAAGTTATCAAAATTATGTAGGTTTTTTTCACATACAGCTTTACTAAATAATTTTGGAAGAGAAAAATGTAGAGTTTCCTATAGATGAAAATGTAATTTCTTTCAAATGTAAAGTTATAACTACAAATTATATATCAGCTGTAGAAAAATAATAGACTCGTCATTTCAAACACCATTTTTTATTCGATTGAAGAATCGATAACATCCAAGAAAACTTCTTAAATTAGTACTACAAGTAGATTTTATTTCTCAACAAAACAGCGCTTTCGATGGACGAAATATGTTGTACACACATTAAATTTAAAATATCATGGAATTGTAATGTTTATAAATAGATTTTGCTTCGTAACAAGCAGTTTTTTTTTTTTTGGTTCACAAAAACATGTCAATTGTGACATAATTTATTTATTTATAATAAAAAATTAACACGGGAAGGGAAGTAAGTCCAAGCGATTACAAAAAGAATGATTAACAAGCCTACCCCGCGAAGGATTTGGCATGAAAATAGATAGTAAAAGAGATATTATTGCTGTAAATGGTATAGTAAAATAATGTGGAAAGATCTACAGATTGATCTATCATAAGCAATCCCCTTTAAGTCGAACATTTCAAAAATACTTTCTTAGCGGGTACTTACGTTGTAAACTTGTTACTTTCATCTTTCTAGACTTAGTAATTTTGGTTGTATCATGAAATCAGGCCTTTTAAAAAGTAAACAACGATTTAATAATTAAACGTGTAAAAAGAGAAATTTGGACCTACCTGTTACGTTATACTAAATCTATGCAAATTCCACCGGAGAAGACTGAAAAAATCGTCAGCCGATTTGAAGAGAGGAATATGGCAGCTACATTTCGAGATACCGCACCTTAATTTCATCGTGCCTCCGATCAAACTGTTTATAATTACTCCTCTCAATTCAAAGGTCGCCTGGAAGAGATCGCTTTTAGCGATAAGGTCGCGTCGGTATTTCTTGTAATTGTTTATATTTATAATAAGTTTACTATTGTAATCTTTTGGAGGAAACAATAAAGAGTATCTATCTATCTTAAATCTTAAAAAGAGCACATGAAGGATACCACGGGTGTCACAGTTTATTCTGTGACTCCCATCATTGATGTACTCGCTATTCATATGTATCAGCAACAATTTCCACTTTCTATCAGTGGTTTGTCAACTTATTAGCCACTTTAAGTTACATTAAAATTCGATTCCCTACCCATCTATTATAAGAAATATAAGGTAGCCGATTTCACTTTACTAACGTTACCCCTGGGGAGAAAACGATCATTAGTAACGGGGACTAGCGTCCCCATTGCTAATACAATGCGGTCGCAAAGTAATCTCTGTCAGGTCGATCTCCCCATAGTCGTTCTGATAATGATGGTGGTTAATTCTAGATGAATTCAAGATAAACCAACTAACCTGCTTTCATTGCCACCTTTCATCCCTCACTGATGTTCCGTCGCCGTATACTGAAAGCATAGACGATGTTACCATTCTAAAAAAAAATAACCACTTCCACTTTGGCACATTTGAGTGGAATTATGTTTTTCTTTTTATACCACCAAGGTGGTAAACAAGCATACAGCCCGTCAGATGGTTAACGGTAACTATAGCCTACGGGGGGAAAGGGATTGTTAGTAATGGAGACTGAGAATCCCATTGCTAGCAATATACCCAACCAGGTCGACATCCTCGCGGTTCCACCTGGAAACTATCATGGTTAATTCCAGATGAATTCATCATGATGGGCTAACTGGCCTGTTTTCATCCTCATCGATCACCATTCACTGATGCCCCGTCAGCGTATCCCGCTAGCGCAGGCGGGATTACCAATCCATTTTCATCCAATAAAAAAAAAAGCATAGCCTACGAACGCCTATAGCATTAGGGGTGTCAAGTGCGCGTTGCCGACCATGAAGGAACCTTATTATACCCTTTTTTAAAAATTCCAATTTGTTACAATATATACTTTTCAATTTCAGTATTAATATATTTATATAATAATACTAGCTTTATCCCACGATTTTATCCGCGTAAATCACTATATAAGGTATCCTATTTGCTAAATTAGAGTACGACTTATCTGTGTACCGTATTTTAAAAAAAAAACCTATACTGTTTCATACCCAAACAATTCCTCAGAACACAATCCGTTATACAAGCGTTGCGCCTATCTCTACGAATAGAATAGAATTTTGTTTCTACTGAAAATAGAGTAATGAATTAAGTCAACATATTAAGAGAAAATCTTTAAAATAAATAAGGAATGATCATCTTTTTGTAAGGTTTAAGAACCTGATACAAATATCGGTATCCATTAGCGTGTATGGCGGGTAATGCACGGCGCTCGGCCACCCAGGTAGCGGTAATGAAGCATGCGGTGCGCGAAGACTGGATGTCTCGCGTTGTGTTCAATGAATGATATTGGAAATCGATACGGCCGATTAAATCGATTCAACGTATATTTTCATAAATCGTTTTGTCGTGTCGCTGTCATTACTACAATTTTTTTTTAATTGTAATTTAATATTATAGAAATAAATCATAAAGGTTTTAGTACTTTGGCACACCACACCGCTTTACCTACCGATGGTCGTAAGTTCGAACCACTAAAATAGAATCTTATTTTTTTTTTATACAATTTAGAATGGCAAACAAGCTGACAGCCCACTTGATGGAAAATGATAAACGTCGCCTATAGACATGAGCAGTACCATGGACATAACAGAGTATACTGTTTCGCCCATGATACCTCCCATGCGTTGCCATTCCTGAGGACTCAGGTGTTATTCCTCTGTACCCTATAAATTCACGTCATATCCCACCCTTCAAACCAAAACACAGCCATGCAAACACAACTGCTTCACGGTTGAAACACGAATGGGACAGAGGTACCCAAGCAATCGACTTTTGTACAAAGTCTCCCCCTGGTAATTAGGGTGGCATATTTTAAAGACTACTTTTGGCCCTAATTTCTTTTTTTTTAATCAATTAAAAAGAAAATAATTGTGAACTGGAGTAATAAGTTGTAAAAACTTTAATGGCCTACTGATGGCAAATTTGTGAATTTGTCAGCGTTTAAATATTTTTTTTATGTATATTGTATGTACTTATAAAAAATGTACTATAGTTATCAGTTATTTAACACCCATAGTATAAGCTCTATCTAGTTTGTGGGACATATTACTACACTAATATTATAAAGCATACGAGTTTAAAGTCAATAATGATGATCAAGGTTTTATGCGTCTATAGTGGTATTGCACGGAATCACGGAACTTTTAGCTTCCAGGCAACACTAAATCCATTGATACAACTTATTATATAAAGTATATTTTCTATGTCATCCTCATCATATCAGCCTTTAACTGTCCACTGCTGAACATAAGCCTCCCCCTTCTGGGGATTGCTAGTAGTTGCCACGCTTGGCAGGGGGATTGGTAACCGCAGTTAGCCATTAAAGATATTTGAGAGGGACGCTGCTGCCTATCCCACGCCCTCACTTAGTCGCCTCTTACGACACCTACGGGAAGGGATAGGTGGCCATGTCGGGATTACACGGCCATTTTCAATATTTTAAGTATAAATACATTATTATTTCACTGCAGAAGTAGAAAGAACGGCAGACGTTGGCCTTTCGTTCTTTCCATTTCTGCCAGGCTGTACACAGACATCACAGTAAAAGAAGATTATTTGTAATGGGGACTAACGACCCCATCACCGTCCCTAGCAAAGTAAACCTCTACGCGATCCCCTGGAAACCATCGAGGTTAGTTCTTGGCGAATTCGTCACAATGAGTCCATATATTAATATGATATATGGATAAGCTATTCCATTTTTATCTCATAAAATAAATAAACTAATACAAAATTTCAGCACAATTAAACTCATTCATCCCTTAAAAAATATTATCATTATTATTCATTACCAAAAAACCAATGAAGCCAAATAACTCCAATACCGTCGAAGCACAACAGGCCATTCTATCGTGCGAAACTTTTTTTCGATACAGGCAACACCGTGTGAATTTAGGAACGGGTGGTGCATGCCAGCAGTCCAGTGGGATCGTAGAAGTTCACTGAACAGCGATGCCTGGAGCTAGCGGCAAAT